TAAAGTGAGTTATCTCCTGTGTTATGAGGAACAATAAGTTAATGGTTCAAAGAGGAACGTTGTGTCTGAGATATGCTGTACTTTTATTGGATGGTGACAGAAAAAAAGATGATCGGTTGGACTGGATGTACCAGGGCCCTGCCGGTCAGGTGTCCAGGGATGAGTACCTGCTTGGGCGCCCCATTGACAAGCAGATCACTGACCAGTATGAGGAGCCAGAGAGCGGTCCCTCAGCTGAGACAGGCCTCCTGCCTGGGTCCATATTTAACCCCGCCACCCCTGCCTCCAGCCTCGATTTGGCTGCCAAGGTCAGGGAAGACCCCCTGTTTGAAATCAGGTGAGTGAACGTGCCATTCTCTTTTGATTTGTTCTGAAGATATTGTTAAATTTGCAGATGATCATGTTTGTGTTTTGTTGGTGTTGTAAAGGAAACGTGAGGAAGCAAAGAAGAGAGAAGTCCTGACTAATCCAGTAAAGATGAAGAAAATTAAAGAAATGGTAACGTTAAGGTCCAAAAAGCTGGTATCGGTGTAGGTTAATGAGATATAACATCCTAAAAAGCATTATTATTACACGCTGATGATTTCTATCATGTAAATATTTGTATTTGTTTGGTTGTTTTTAAATAGCTTCGCCAAAACCTTGACAAGAAAGACAAGAAAAAGAAGAGGAAGAAGGAGAAGAAGGAGAAGAAAGGAGACAAAGACAGAAGGAAGGAAAAGAAGCATAAGAGGAGGAGTTCAAGTTCGAGCTCGGAGGAAGACGATGAGAAGAAACACAGGCTAGTAAAGAGGTTGTTTCAGAAATGATTGCAGTATGTTATGAGACTTCTGTGTAAACCAGCAAATTGCTCATAAGTACCACTTTTTTTATATATCATTTTTTATTCGTTTTTCAGGTCACGAGACAACTCCTCAGACACCAAATCTCATTCTCATCATCATCATCCAGGCTATGGTCTACAGGTCTGTACCACAGCTACTGTGATCACACACATGCACATGACTTATCCTGCATTTTCAGCATCTGATCTCTGAGACATCCACTGTGTGGAAAAAGTCCTAGAGCCTCTAAAGGGAAAGTCTGCGGAGTGTCTTAAGTTCAAGCTTGTATTTGTGAAAAGTAAAGGTGCCATAACTAAACAGCAAAGCTCACCAGTTTAAAGGGTAGAGTCATGCTTTGCTTCATTAGTTCCAAATTAAGGGAAACTCTCTGCATCATGAGTGGGTTGTAACTGGTGTGGAAGTGATTAATCAGATGTGCACTGGCAAAACCAATCGCTTCATCTTTAAAGTGTTTTTAGTAAATATGCTTATAAATATCCACAAAATATTAACCTTCTTCAGCATGCCTGGAAAACTTTAATATGCATGCATGAGTGTGTTCACATTCTGCCATTCTGACCCACAGTTCTCTGTGTAAGCTGCACACACAGCACGAGAGTAGAAGTTGAAAGCCTTCAACAAGTAGAAATAAGGGACTCCCGGTGACCAGGGAGCTAAAGTTTCTTTGCAAGTGTTGTTGTTTTTTTTGTTTTGTTTTTTTGAGAGCAGCATGCAGCTTTTCTTTTTCTTGGGGGTTTCTGGCCCACTGTGAGGGGAGACCCTCCTGAAATGTGTTGCTGATTATTGGTCTTTTCCCTCAGCTCCCAACAGACAGATATCAACAGACCTCGACCTCCTCCGGTCACTCAGGGCGGCGTGAGAGGAGCCGATCCCGATCACCTCACAGGAATTACAAGGACAGCCGCTCCTACTCTTCATCCTCCTCACATCGGAGTGAAAAGAAGCAGGAACCTAGAGCTCCCAGCCCACAGAAGGACCGCTACCAGAGACAGAGGAACCACGTGCCCAAGTAAGAGTGTACACATGTCCAAAAAGTATGTTTGTGAACGTATTTGTATGATAACTGATTAAATATTGCAATAACTGCTTTGATCTGCTCTTTTCTTTTTCTTTTTTTGCAAGCACTTGTAAATATTATCAATGTTGTAACTGTGATACGTGTGTTAAGATGAGCAGATGAGCTGCTTAAATTGTAACATGTTACATAAAATCTCATCTTTATCACCACCCACGCTTAACTGGTTAATTTTCCATGTTGTTCTGTCTGATGTAGGAAGCTCTCTGCAGAGGAGATGGAGCGAAAGAGGCGTGAGATGATGGACCAAGCCAAGCAGCGGGAGGAGGACAGGGAGAATAATGTGAAGCGCTATAAGAGGCAGGACGAGCAGGAGAAGCAGAGGGAACAAAACGCCAAGCATGACCGCCACGCTGGCTTCATCCAGTAAGTTCAGAGTGTGATGTTTGTGGACACAAGTCTGATAATCAGATCAGTTATTTGTGTGTGTTTGTGCATTTTAAGTTTCAGTAACTGACCTTTGTCATCTTGCAGCAACATGAAGCTGGAGAGTGCCGCGAGCTCCTCCTTAGAGGACAGAGTGAAGAGAAATATCCACTCCATTCAGAGGACGCCAGCCTCCCTGGAAAACTTCATGAAACGATAAAGACAAAAAATCACATTACAGTCAATGAACTGACTAAAAAGACTGCCACACACCATTTTTTGACTGGGGCAGGTGAGCTGCGAGCCTGTCAGGAATTCAAACACAGGCTTTTAATTTGAAAAGCAGATGTCACAGTATTCATATGTACAGTACAAAAGGCCTGTTGTTACTTCATGTGTTTTAGCTACTTTCTTCAAATCAAATAACTGTTTATAAGGTTAAAGTAAGTTTGTGCAATTTGCTGTTTTTGTTTTTACATATTGATAGGACCTCTTATCTCAAATGCTTTTGTAATATTCGTTTGGTACTGTGAGTAACAAATGGTATAAAAACTACATTTCTGGATTTGTATTATTCATTCTTTTTTAAATGCCACTTGTCACTGATCATAGACTGTTATTTAAGAGAAAATATACTTTGTATACCCTGAAGTGGGGAAATTCCTTTACTTAGCACCTGAAAGTTAACATCAAACAGATCAAATAAAGAGAGTGGAAAGAGAATAAAATGTGACAAAATAAATATATTAGCATGGTAAAGCTCATTTGAAATCAAAGTAAAGCAGTTATGTAACTATATAATAGTTAACTAGCTTAGTCAATGAGCTGTATAAGCACATCTCACAGACACACACAGACCAGCTAATTCATGCAAACTAACCAAGAAAATGTTAACAGTTGCCCAAAACCAAAGTTCTGTATCTCACTGCAAACCATAAAGGTTGTCACAATTGCATTAGTGGACCAACAGCATCAAGAGCACTCTGTGAAGCTCAGCAGACACAGCAGCAGTACTTGCATCATTTTTCTTTTCTGAAAGTTGCTGTTTAACACAGACCCAGCCACACACTCAGACAAAAATGGGTTCATCCCAAAGACAAACTTAACAACATAGTGTTTGCTGTACAGCAGCGAGGAATGCTCAGACCTCTATGTTGGAGAGACCAAACAGCCACTTCATAAATGCATGGCACAACATAGAAGAGCCACCTCAATGGGACAAGACTCTGCTGTCCATCTGCATCTAAAGGACAAAGGTCACTCTTTCGAGGAAGCCAATGTTCACATTTTGGAGGAAAGGACAGATGGTTTGAAAGAGGAGTGAAAGAAGCATCTATGTCCACTGTGAATGGCCATCTTTGAACAGAGGCAGTGGCTTACGGCACCAACTGCCTGCCACCTATAATCCAGTTTTGAGATCCCTTCCTGGAAGCCGTAATGCCCACAAACATCCTGGGCCATTTGACCTCAGGAAATCACACGATAGGGCGGGCTAGGTTTCACAATGGGTTCACCTGAAAACTTGGCTGATTTTGACCCACACCAGTGGGTCTTGGCTTGTATGATTAGGTAGAGGATCAATAGGAAGTCCATGACCCTCTTGGGGACACTCGCATAGGGCTTAAAATCTGAGGCTCTCTACCAATCGCTCTTAGAACTGGAGAAGCTTCTTGGATGAGAGGTGAAACATCTTCAATAAAAGAAGTCCAGATGCTTTTCTTTCCAAGCTCCTAAGAGTTTAACACATACAGCTTTACCTGTTCTCCCCTCCACTAATTCAAGTCCCAGGAGCCAAATCAAAAACCCAACTTTTGACTTCTGTGAGGAATCTTTGTAGAGGCCATTGATGTTGCCAGCATTCATGCTTTTGCTGCTGCATTATGTTTTAATTACTGTGTGGTCATATCCTTGTGTCTTATATACAGTGCCAGCCACGGCAGATACGAATAAAATCCTGGGACTTTTTCCCATCTTGGATCCCTGTGTGATCAGCGTTTTCTCAGGAGCAAACATATTTGTCCCTCAAGTTTTTCCACTTCTTTTTACCTCCTCTCCATTCTGGTATTTCAGAATTTCCCTCCAGGAATTTGCTGACATTTGTGAGTCCTTATATTAAATCATTATTGGTGCCATTCTTATTCATTGTGGGCTGCGACCGCCAAAGGTGTAGTTAGATTTCCTGGAAAGTCAGGTTATGCTGTAGTTTGCAGCATAGACTGAAGCATAAATCTCCAGTAAGGCCATGTGTTTGCTTTCACCTTATGGCAACTATCCTCAGCTGGAATAAATTGTTCTGCAGGTTATGTGGCGTATGAGGAGCAGCAAAAGTGTTATTGTATGGCAAAATAATAATAAAAAAAAGATTAGCTGACCTCTCTCTGTTATATGGTGGCTGTGTCACATGAAGTGATTGTACACGTGTAATTACAGTGGATTATTTTTTTTTTTCTCGTTCATGATCAAATAAAATGTAATCTTTAGTTCACGACATTTTTAGCTCTGGGTTAAACTGTATGTCTAACTGACTAAGCCTTATTTTAACCTGTTGTGTTTACAGGGGAGTGACAGCACAGTTTTAAACTACCTTACCGCTCCGCTGTGTTTCAATTTCGCTTTAACGCGCCTCTACCAAACTATGCACGCTTTGGTCACGCTGCACTTCTCACCCAATCACAGTCGCACATCGCTGAGGATGTCAGCCAATCATATCTGAAGGCTTCCGTTACGTATGTAGATAGTTAGTGTGATCTCGTGTTTCTAAATCGTGTAGTCACTGTCGGAAGCTAACGGCAATCATTCACAAAGCTGGGAAGCAGCAGAGTTTGTCCGTTTTAGCAGTTAGGAACCTAAACCAGCGCCTTCACAATGGTAAGAACATTAAAAATAAGTTAACATCCGCGCGGCTGGTTGGATAAAAATTATATTAAACTGAGTTTGTAGGCTAACAGAGACTTGAGCTAACAACGGTAGCATCAGACATCTTTAGCATGGTCACTAAAGTTACCTACCGGTAACATCTGAATTAATTCTGAGGAAAATGCGAAGTTAGTTTTACAGTAAATCATTATTTAATTACTGATAATGTCCTAATGAATAATTTAGCTCTCGATTCTGGAGAATAAAACTAGAGAAAACCTGAAAGCTAAATGCTTAGCTTCTGCTACTCTTGAGCTAGCGTTGATTTTTGTGCAGGATTGGGTTTTTTTAACTCACTTTTTTGGCTTTGGTTTTAGTGTATTTCGTTTTTCAACGCTAGTGAGCGTGTTTAGTCTCAGCCAAAGCTCACTAGACACTGTAAGATTAAACAGACACTGACAGATTAAAATTTAAAGCGATGAAAACAGTTAAAACTGGATTTTCTAAAGCTACTGTCAGAAGCAAACATCAGCAACCTGCATCTCAGGAGCGCTGTTCTCCACTAGAAAACCTCATGAATTGACAAATGTCCCAGGTACATACATGCAATATTTCACACACTTTCTTACTGTTTATGTGGTAAGATGGTAGCTCTTGTGAGAGTTACACTTTTTGGTGTTAAAAATTTCTGCTTAGTCAGTATACGTTTTGCTTTTGATTTTATAATGTATTAAATAAACGCTATTTTTCCACTGTAGCCAAGTCAAGACTATTATTTCTACAGAAACAACAGAATACATTTAGATACTTTTTAGACACAGAAAGGGAGAAAATACGAATATGACAAATTATACCACAAAAACAATATCAGTAGATGTCAGTAGATGGTCTAATCCTAATAGAACAAAATCCAGGACTTTTTTTTTGGTGGTATTCTAACTAAAACACAGAAATTGATTTGTTATACATGCTGTATACATGTTTGTCATTTTTGATACCCAGTTTTTAAGCATGTACATTCCCCTGATTCAGTTTTATGGTAAGAGGAGACAGTGAAAGTATGAGACTTTTATCTTTAGTAGTTTTTCAGATATTCATGTTCATCCAAACTTTGGACCAAAAAATCTTCAGGCAAATCTGATGACCCCAGTCATTTGAGGTGATGTGACCCTTTTATAGATTTGGTTGATCAGGTGATTGATCCATTTTTGTCCTCCATCCTCTTCTCCTCTCCCAGTCTATTATGTCATATAATGGCGGGGCTGTCATGGCCATGCGGGGGAAGAACTGCGTGGCGATCGCAGCAGACCGGAGGTTTGGCATTCAGGCCCAGATGGTCACGACAGACTTCCAGAAGATCTTCCCCATGGGAGACAGGCTGTACATCGGGCTGGCTGGTTTGGCGACAGATGTTCAGACAGTGTGAGTGGGAATCTCGTCCTCTCAAAATGTCTTTTTTATGCCTTTATTTTATTTGCTCTGCTCGGAATCAGCTCATTGGTTTGCGAACTTTCAGCTCAGTTTCTTAAAGTTTGAAGTGAAGCAAAATATGTTGAAAGAAATTAAATACAAGGGTAAAAAGTGATTTTTCTGTGTCCTTTCCTCATGTTTTATTCTCATCCACCTGCACACAAGGAGTCTTAACTAAATGAGAAACCCTCACTTTGGAGACCAATTTTTTTTTTTTTGGAATGATGTTAAATATATGTGATATTTGGCACAGCTGGATCATCTCTCAGCCTGCTGCTGGTGTATTTTATGATCACATCTTAACAGTTTGGCAGCAGCTCTTCCTAAAGGGTTTGTTCCTGCTGTCTCAGCCTGTACCTGGGAATAACTACAAAGTCATGTCAACGGGAGAAAAATTAACCAGGGTCCAGTTTAACCAGACTAAACATTGAGTGTGAAACCACCCAAATTTAATTACCACAGTCTTCGTGTTTGATAGCAGAAGATGGTAGTAACAGACTTTACTGAACTAATTTCTGATGCTGAATCAGGACAGATCAGTGGTCGAATGATTTCTTGTCATCCATCCCTTTTTGCAGAGCCCAGAGGCTGAAATTCAGACTCAACCTGTATGAGCTGAAGGAGGGTCGCCAGATCAAACCCAAAACCTTCATGAGCATGGTGTCCAACCTGCTGTATGAAAGGAGGTGAGTACACTGAACTGCCGAAAGCATGAATACGAATTTGTCTTTTGTTTCTGCCAGTTTGTTTGAACAATGAACTCAAAAGGTCACCTCAGTGGTGTTCTGTGTTTATACTTGCACAACAATCTATTGGACCACGTACTCCTGGAGTCTGAGCTCGGTCCAGTCAGTACTTTAATGCGAATGTGGGAATGCTGGACACTTCTTCATGTCTGATTCTCTCATTAGGTTTGGGCCTTACTACATCGAGCCTGTGATCGCCGGATTAGATCCTAAAACCTTTGAACCCTTCATCTGCTCCTTGGATTTGATTGGCTGCCCCATGGTGACAGAGGACTTTGTTGTGAGCGGCACCTGCTCGGAGCAGATGTACGGCATGTGTGAATCTTTGTGGGAGCCGGATATGGTCAGTATTAAACCTAAAACCACCTGTACTTGGGTTTAGTTTATTTGTGTTCAGATAAGTCTGCAGGATTGTTAGTGAGCTTACCTTTTCTTTTCTTTTTTTTAAATTTAAATATCTGTAGTTTTAACTTACACTGTTCAACATCCAAGGAATTTAAACGCAACATGGTGGTTAAAGACGCAGTAATTCTTCTGAGGTGTTGAAACTCTAATGAGTGTTGATTTGAATTTTGTTCTGGTCGTGCAGGAGCCGGATGATCTGTTTGAGACCATCTCCCAGGCAATGCTGAATGCAGTTGATCGAGATGCAGTTTCTGGCATGGGAGTCGTCGTACATGTCATGTAAGTATGGCGTGCAGGTTTGCATCCACGCTGTCTTTCAGCCATGGCTGGTGTAACAGGTGGGGCTTTCCCTGAATGAGGGGTCTGAGAAGAATTAATCTTATAGTGGTGGTACACATCCACAAGATCCATCATTTCTATGCTGCTTGTTCTTTGTCTGTAACTAAGCAACCAAGAGACAGACCTCAGTCTCCCCTCTTAATACTCCTCATTTATTTCTTCACCTTTCCTGCATGGCTTTAACTTTTTTCCCTCTCCTCTTTGTGTTTTGGTAATTGTCTAAATGACCAGAAGTTTAAATCTCAATATGATTTAGACTTCCAGCAATTATGAAAAAATGACATGTTTGCACTAATTTTTGCTACAAAGATTAATTTATTTTTTGCTCTAAATCACACCGTTGGTTTACAGCAGTGTTTTCACCCCTCCCTGAAAGCTCAGTCTGTTTAGTTCAGCTCAAGACAAGATGACTGACAGAGGGTTGTTGGTCAATGAGGTCCAGAAGTAGGAAAAGGTTAGATGAATCTGTAGAAGTGTTACCCAATCAGCAGTTACGTGCATACAAGTCAGTCCACATGACGAACATAACAAAGTATGTATTTTGGGGCTGAGCACAGCGCAGAGCTGCTGGGTGGAGTCTGCAGTGATTGACAGCTGTTTTCTTTTGTCTGGCAGTGAGAAAGACAAGATCACCACACGAACCCTGAAGGCCAGGATGGACTAGAGCTCCTTCTCTTCATACGTCATTAACTCAGATATTTTGTACAAAAATAATAAGAAATCCTTGTATTGTGTCTCTTTCCTCATTCGCACTGTTCAATAAATGAACTTAGGTTTAAACAATAAACACGACCGATGTCATTGTTGGAGGATCTTGTTTAAAGTTGCTTCTAATCTTAGAAATCGAGTTCACTGTCGAAATCAATGCCTCAAAGTGAAATCGCAAACTGATTGAATGAGCTCATGGAAATCCTTGATGAGTTGTTAAAATGCTCTAACAAATTACATTTTTAAGGATTGAGGGTGAACCACAAAGTTTAGACTTCACCTTTGACATTTGTGCCACTTGTTCCTTCAGACCTTCACCCTTGATAACACACCTGTGTGGAGTAGTGGGAGAGCAGTTGAGGGTTCAAGTCCAATCAGGCACACCTTCCAGGAAAGCTCACCAAGAGCACACAAGTCTCCCACAGAATATGATGATGTAGTTTAAGGCACCAGTGGGAAAGATGTTGAAAAAGCACAGAAAGAAAACATGCCCCTTAAAATGCCATTTACAGAATATTAAACTCACATAATGTCAATATGAGCTCAAGAGGGCTGGACCAGTAAAGCCATTACCTATAAAAAAGGAAAAAAAACTTTTATTTGTTAAAGTAGTACACATTTAATCCCCAAGTTACAAAAAGTGCAGTTTCAACAATTTTTTTCCACATTATAAAAGAAATACTGCTGTAGTAAATCACAGGAAATGCATACAAAAAATGCAGAGACTGCCCAGTAATCAAAACCGTTTCATGCCAATTCACAAAAATATCCCGTTCTTACTGTGAACCTACTGTATTTTTATATGCATGTAGTAAATACTCAAACATGAACAGTTTTTCTTCAGCTGAGCCACAGGGCATGTAAGAAGGATGTAGAGTTGACAAAACAAAAATACTTTGCCCTCCTAATTTTCACATTTTCCAAAATCATCCAAATGACCCCCAGACCGTTGGGATGACAGCCTGGGTTTAAAGCAAACTGGAATTTTTCCTGGTTCCAGAGTCAAAATCAGGCAGGAAGTTTTCACCTGCCATCCAACAGCACGTTGGATTAATGGTGCCCATCTGGCCTCTGGACATGCTCACAAAACAGCTTCTTAATGTAAAGAGTTTGTAACAGTATAGCAATAAGAAAAAAAGCATAATAGATTCACTAGTATAAATGCAGTCTGGACTAATAGTTCTTATTGGTATAGTAATCAGATTGCATGTAATCCATTACCCACCAAAGCCAAGTGTTACAAATATGAGACCCAAGAAGCAGAAAGAAGCACAGCCAAACCACAAAAACAAGATAAAACTCCCTTTAATATGCAATGAATCATTTTCAAGTAACCTTTTTTCCTAATGTCTGCTGGTAACAAAACAATACTGTATACAAACACAAAGTTGCTACATTAATGTAAACAAGATATAAAAATGATCCTTATGGTAATAAAACAAGTATTTGCTGCAGAATTCCCCTTTTTAAAGTGAATGTTTTTGTTGTTTTTTTGTCCTCTTTGACCGACCTCCACCAAGTTCACGGTTAAATTGGAAAAATATTCAGAAACAATATGGCAACAGAACATTCAAACACGGATTTTTTTTTCCTTTTTTTAAAAAGTTTTAGTCGTAACACTCAGATGCCAAGTTCAGTGGTTTGATGTTTCAACTGGTGGAGTCTCATGTACAAGTCAGCCATGCATTTTTTTGATATTGCATTCTTTTACTTAATACACCATTATATATTCATGTGTTCATCACCCTGTCGTTCCAAATCCATCAGAAGAACTTGTAAAAAAAACAAAAGAAAAATTGTTACCGAGAGAGAAGCCTGATGGCGACTGTCGAAGAGTTTGCCATGCAATCAGACCTTTCTTCATCTGCGTGTGTGCTGCATGTGTGCGTGTATGTCTAATAGAAATTATAGGAACAACAACAACATGAACAGAAACTAAAGAGACTCTACTAACGAACTGGTAACTGCTGAAGCTGACACACTCATTCAAGGCATTAGTGAGACAGTTTCCGTGCTGGCGTGAGGAGCAACAAGGTGGCTGAAGGAGAGCAGGTTCTTTTTTTGTTGTTTGTTTATTTGTTTGTTTGTTTTTTAAGAAAAACACCACAGGGAGAATACCAGGAACCAAATTCAGTGAGAGGGGTTCACAGGTGGAGTCGGGATAGTGTAACAGGCTTGATGCTGAGGAGAGGTGGTTTAGTTTTAACGATGGGAGACTGACCTACACTGAGGTGAGGGAGGAGAGAAACGTGTGTGTGTGTGTGTGTGTGTGTGTGTGTGTGTGTGTGTGTGTGTGTGTGTGTGTGCGCGCGTGGGCGTGGCATCTGACAGATCTGACAGGGAGAGACCAGCTGGCTGGACTGGAAGATGATGTTTACGATAAGATGTTGGACATGAACTCGTAGAATCGTTTGGAGTACTGCTCCGGGTTCACTGTCGAGATCTCGGCCCCCGCCTGGGAACAAAAAAATAAACATAAACACGATTTAGATGAAGTGACACATGTGATAAAGTACACAGCAACACACATTTCAAGAGGAAAAAAAACCAAACAAACCTTTCAGGGAAAACCACACACAAAATCTGTTACCACGGTGACTGTGTCAGACAAAGCGATAATAATTATAAAAGCAGTCTTTAAATGACAGAGACATTAGACTACAGGCTGCGGCGATCAATCGCGCCATGTGATTAACGTCATCAGGAAGGAGGTGGTGGTTAGAAAGAAAGGCTTTCAGTTCACGGGGCCACGCCTGGGCAGCTTTTGTCTCGCCGTGTTTACAGCGGCACACAGCCGAGCAGCAAGACAAACCGTCGGTGGCGAGCAGAGCGCTAATCTTAACACTCACCCCATGTTTCACAGTTTTGGCAGCATGTGCAGCTTTTTTCTTAGCGTCATAGTGTGTGAGAATGTCGATGATAGCCATGAAGTATACCTCCTTCTTCACAGCACCTGTGGAGAACGCCACGAGGAGATTTTATTAAAACAAACAAAACAGCCGATAAAGACGGCGTTAATCTGCTGGCTGCGAATTTCAGTAACACTCATGTTAAAGGCGGCGCTCACTGTCATGGCTCTTGATCGCGTAAACATCCACAGAGGGGTCGAACTCCCCGGGGCCGAAAAACCCGCCGCAGTTCAGAGGGTTTCCGGGACTGTCGGGAGGCGTGCCGAAAGAGCCCGTTAACACGCCTCCTCCCATCCCGTCGTTCTCGTACTCCTCCTCCTCCCCCGTGCCCTCCACGTCCATCTCCTCTTGCTCCGCCCGCTCCACATCATGGATGCCCACCAGGAGACTGTAGTCCATGATCTTCAGAGTGGCCAGGAACTAAAACACACAGGAAACACTTGGTTCAAAACCTCTGCATCTCTGCACAGAGCAGTCGCCGTTCCGGTCTTTCAGACTAACGTTTGGAATCATTTTACAAATTAAATTTCAAGTAACAGCTGTTAAAATATTCATCTCACCGGTGTGATGGTTAAATAAGTGAGGCATGCCGTGTTTACAGACAGTAAGGTTTCAGAAACATTTACTGATTATACCAGGAGGAGGCTGATTTGAACTTTTAGTTTTTTATCTTTAGAAATACATGTTGTAGCCAAGGGGGAAAATAAAAGTCTTCGTCAGGCTTTATGCAGTCATGTGGAAAATTAAGTACACCTCATGAACCACTTTTAGCAACAATAAGCTGAAGTAAGAGTTTTCTGTATGGCTGTATCCGTCTCTGACATCGTTTCTTTAGCTACAGCTCTCTTCAGGCCCCAGTGCAGCATTTCAACCAGACTGAGGTCTGCTCGATAAAAAAAGTTCTAGTGGCCCCGTCATCATTCTGATGTAGATTTGCTGCTCTGCTTAGCATCACTGTCCTGTCACTATGACTCTAGAATACTTTGGTATACAGAGTTCACGGCCCACTCAATGACTGCATGATCACCCCTGCACCACCACGCTGACAGGTGCATTTCTCCAAACACGGTGCAGAGCATCAGAACCTTCCTCTTGGCAACCCTTCGAAACAAGCCACACTTGTTCTGTCTCTTCCTGATGATACTGTCATGAACTTGTGCATTTAACATGCTAACTGTAGAGCTTGAATTGGAGCGCTTGGGTTGTTTTAAGATTACAAGCTAAAATGAGAGCGCATTAACAGAAAAGATCCAAACTGGAGTTCAGACTTTACATAAACTAATCAAAAAAATAAATTATATTTAGGCTTACTCATGCATAACGTTTTAGCGCAGGGAGCCTGTTAACAAAAACAATCAGCATTTATGCTGGGTGAAACGGTTTCATTCCAGAGCAGGAACAATGAAAGCCTGAATGTGTGTTTTACCTCTACATCCCGTTTTAGCTTTTCCAAAAAGTACTTTTTGTTGTCGTCTCCTATCTGCAGCTTGTGGCCTTCATTCAAGAAGTCGTTGTCTTTGAAAGTGGGGAGCTCTTTCGCCTGAAGAGAAGAGGGGGTGGTGTTATGAAGCTGCAGCAGGAGCCGTGTTTTATATTCAAACCAAACCTGTTTTTAAATGCTAATGAAAAACTCAGAGGTGCCGGGGCCCACCTACATCATCGGCTGCTGACTTTCAGCGTGCACTGATGTTAACATTCATATTCATGCAGTCATGATTACAACCATGTGACAGAGAAAATACACAAATTTAAGTCAAATCATGCTGACAGCATCCGCTTACATACAAGCACTTAATTTTAGCAGCAGTATGACAGGTTTGCTTGTGGGGTGAGCTAAGGCCATCTATTTTTATCCCATCGTGTCAGCAGACATCAATGCACAGAAATAAAGCCCACCTTCTCCTTGTCGCTGGCTTCCCTTGAGACTGTCGAACCCTAGAAAAGATGCAAAATAAGAATAAAAATAGAATGAGCGAGACACATCAGAGGAAGCATTAGCATATTTGCACACAGCTGTCAGTATTAGAAACACAAAGATGCTTTCTCCTGAGGATACCGGCATGAAAGGAGGTGAGTGCCGATAAGCACCGATTAAAGAAGTGAGCTACATCCACAGTCATCTTCATACAGACCTAGTTCAATCCTTGGGTAGCAATCAGGGATGCAAATATCGAGGAATCTGTCTGGTTAATAGTTACAGAAAAGCCAAAAGCAACAGAAACTGGATGTTTTAAGATTACATTTATTTCTAAAGTTTATAAATTATGGCCTTCAATTAAAAAATACTTCCTTAAAAGAAAAATTATCAATCATTTCTTCACCTTCGCACAGATTGTGATTAATCCTTTATTGTTTTTTATATATTGTATTGTAGCCACAGACAGTATAAAAGACAAGTGAGTAGAAGATGAAGACACCGTGCCATTTTTACTGGCCACCAGGGGGCGATACTTGGTTCCAAATAGACTCCAGCTTGTGTGGAAGTGGATGGTATAAAGTCCCACAGCCTCCTTTCTCTGTGACTTCAGTAAAAATCCTTCCTGAGTTTATGGGATTAAGTCTTATTCAGCAGATCATTAATTCCATTTTACTAAGCTATTGTCATTTTAAGAGCCAAAAAAGATTATCTGGGGTATTCTTAATGGCTTCGCTGTTAGTCACAAGCCATTAATCGATGATTGTGCAGTTTCTCAGATGGACCTTTCGCTCTCACATCCGGTTTCAAAACACCAAGATGGCAACAGCAGAAGTTATAAAGACAACCGAACTGCGTTGAAGTGTTTCAGCTCTTTGTCATGGCCTTCATCGTTTAGGGCTGCGCTAATGAACAACGATCGGCGGAACTGATGACAGCAGGATTGCTAATCAAAACAGCATTATCAGTTAAACATTACATTTAATCTCCCTCACTGTAGCTTCATCTCAGCATCTCAACAACACTTTGGACACAATAGTTTTATATTTTTATGCTGCTTTTATAGTGAGTTGAGAATTTGTCATGATTCGGGGGAAGACGTTCCTCGCTGTTGGTCTGATTTGAAATGAGATGGGTCTCATGGGCCTGTGTATTTGCAGAGACACTCGTTTATCTCTTTAACCCTGCATGTGTTGGTCAAAGAGTCTGCTGTGTGTGGGGAGGGAAAGGCATTTTATACCAGTATAATCACGAGCATGGATCCCCAAACAGTGCTTTCGTTCCCAGGAGACTCCTGGCTATATGAAATTGATTTATCGTCTAAAAATATTTTACTGCCAAAGAAAAAAAAAAGTTCAGGAGGTAGAGCAGGTCATCTACTAATTAGAAGCCTGGCGTTTTGATCTCCGGTGCTCCCGTCTGTATGCCAAATATCCTTGGGCAACATACTAACACCCAGCTGCTCTCTGATGGATGGAAATGTCAGAAAATACTTGAGCATAGAAAAAAGCTTGTATGAATGGGTGAATGAGGCCTGTTGTAAAAAGCACTTTGAGTGTAGAAACGCACTTTACAAGAACCGGTCCATTTACCACAAGTGGTTAAATTAACACATATTGTTAAATAACCCTCAAGTTAAAAAAAAATGAAAGCTAAATCATGAAACTGAGTTTCATGATTGTATGAACGTATGCGAGACCGTAAATGTGGCGTAAAGCTCTCTAAAAGGATGATGAGACTCGTGTGCATGTGCGGCGTAGCCAGCGTACCTACCTTCAGGTCGTATTTGCGGTGTACGGTGAGCCGATGGCTGAATACATTCCGGGTCACCACCATGTACGTCTCCACCCCGTCCACCGTTAGCCTGTACATGCCCAGGAACTGAGGGAGCAGCGTGTTGCCATGACACTCCACTATAAACTGGAGACGGCCAGGGGAGGCGAGCACAGAGAGAAACAGGAAGTGTGGGGGTGAGGAATCAAATGCACGCAGAATACAAGCTGATTAAAAGTGAGCGCAGCTTCGTTTCTGTGTTTAACTTTAAAAGGCAGAGATCACGCTCTCCTCCAACACTCCTGTTGGGACGGGAATTATTCTGCTCATTTTCAGCGCCACGCGTTTATTCCTGGACTCTGCTAAGCTAGCTTTGCACAATTCACAGCTCAGAATAATCCTTCTTTATCTTATGGCCATGCTGCAGATCCAAGCAATCTGTTTTAGCTCCTCCTACTTCAGGCTTAATTTCCTCCTGATCTGTTGGGGCTGATATGTCCCTAAACTTTTATATTCTCTATGACATCATAAAAAATAAATACTGGTGCCGGAGTGTATAAACACCTGTGCTATCAATTTGAAACTCCTACGTCGCTTCGTTCTCGAGTTCTTCCGTTCACACACCTGTGTCCACTCCGCCCGCCCTGCAGGGCGACAGCAATAATCCATCAGCCTTTTACGGCCGAGGGGTAAAAAGTGAAGCTGGGTGTTTCACCTAATTTGTTGTGTTATTCTTCTTTTATTCTTCACCACTGACTCACACCAGATTTTGCTTGACAACAGGCTTCAGCCCTGCATGGCTTTAAACTGACAAGCCAATTGTTTTACAACATGTTTGACTTATTGGTTTTTAATCTTCTGTCCGTGCGTATATGACTGTATTTTACTGTGCGCATTATCTGTGGCTTAGCGAGAGCCACCTAAATAATCACAGGGATTACTTGTACAAACGCGACCTCGTTATTTAAAACCTCGACCATTTCTGTAACAATACATGGACAGAAAATAAATTAATAACAGGTTCTCTTTATCTTTAGATTCAAATCTAGATTAGAAATTATTTAACAAACTGATGCTGAATTTTTCTCCTCACACCCGACACGTGAGCACATTTCAATACTAGGATAATGAATCACAATAAAAGTCTGGCTCTGCAGTTCCTCGCAGCGGTGCCTCTACCTGGTGATATTTCTTTAGGATGTTGTGCATCTCAGCGATGTCCTCACTGGACACGGTTTTGATGACGAAGCGGTGGTCGTAGCTGGACAGGATGCGGTTGCCGAAGCGGCCCTGGGTGTCGCTGTTGAGCGGGGCGCTCCTGGTCAGAGAGTTCTGCCAAACCAAACGCAACGAGGTGGATTAAGCTCCTGTGAGAGCGAATGAACATTTCTGCTTGTGCGTCACTGTCTGAGGTCTCACCTGGTAGTCCTGGTCATCAATGCAGAACCTCTCCCTCAGGTTTCTGAACACCATGGGGCAATACTCTTTAAACTTAAAGCGACTAGGCAGGTTTTCTCTGGCAGGAGAGACGAACAGAGTCAACACAATCTAAAACGAGGAATTAAAAATCACTGACTTCAACTTTTTTTGCTCGCTGTTGGATTTATTTCTGCTTCTCTGGAATCAGACTGAACAAAGAGATAGTGTGAAGTTGTCATTTGCAGTACAGCAAAGGGCAGAAAACAGAGAACTCACTCAAACTGATTTAAATGTAAAGATCTCAACAGCATTATTGCCCTGATCACTTATGAAAAACAAACAAAAAAATAGATTTTAAAAAGCTCATGTATAATGTGATGCGGCTACTAATGCAGCCACAAATCAGATATTTCTTTATGTTGCACTGCTTGTCCTCACACTGAAACCACTGCAGAGCCTGATGCACTGGGATATGGACCATCACAGTTTACAGCTTATAAGTGAGAAACGAGCTCTCCTGAGTAAATAAAGCACTTTGGAAACTGAAATGAAACTTAACTAGTTCAGATCTTCTGAACTTTTTCGCTGATGTTGAAAAAAGAAACAAAACAGCACACTGATTCATTTTAGTTTCACTGAAGGCTCAACCCAGAGCAAAGAAATGGAGCCAATGTGGAAGTGCCAAAAGTTACAGTTCCTCTAAGAGCCTTCCACATACAATGCACCGCTGCACTCTTACATCTATTCTTTTCTACTGTTTGCGCCACACAAGAACAGTTTCCTGCTGGGAAACACTTACATGTTTCCCAGCCAAATTTCCACACAAGTTGAACTTTGACTCCAAATTTAAAAGTTTACAGCAAATTTAAGCATGTTGGTATGAAAACCAGTTTCAGCTTCTATGGATAGTTTTCTAACAACTCTGAATATTGTGAGGTTTTGTAACGTATCCACCTGGATGCTGTGGTTTAGGGGTGTCACCACTGTGATTGATAGAAGCAGTTAGAGCCGGTCTCTGTCTGCTGGAGCAAAACTCTGCTACTCCGAGTCAAACTGGACCTTTTCTGTGTGCGTGTGCTGCTGGTGCTTTCTGAAGCATGTCTTAATCAACTATCAGGATAAAATTAAGGCTTGCTGTGAGGTACAGACTATCCAATGAGTGAGATCACGGCGTCCGAGTCCATCTTTTATACAATCTGTGGCTTTCGCGATAAAAGCCCTTTTTCCATTAGTACCTACTCGGATCGACTCAACACGGCACGACTCGGATCGACTCGTTTTCCATTACAATCTAGTACCACCGAATGTGCATGGGGTTGTTATAGCAACGCAGCCAAGAGTCCCACAATTAGCAAACGACACGAAGGCTGAACATCGAGGCAACGATACACCTGCTGCTCGGTCGGCTTTACGTCAGACTCGGGCTTTGGGTTTTTTTTTTGCGATTTCCCTCGTTGTTGGGTTTGATTTTCGCAAACGACATTCATGACTCATCGAGGCACGACACTGACTAACCAATCGGTGGCATGCAGTCTGTCGATGTCACACTTTTGGATCACCTCGGATTGCGTGGAACCCCAGCAGAGTAGGTGCTAAAAAAGTATCTGGTACCAAGTACGATCACTTAAAGAAAACCCTGAAAACCGAGGCGAGCCGACCCCAGTAGGCACTAATGGAAAAGGGGCTAAAGGCTCCACCTTCAGCTGATCGATCTACAACAATGGATCCAGTCCAGGTGAGGTGTGTCAACACTGTGAAGGATACTGGCCAATGTTTATTCCCTAAAATCAACCAGTCCTGTAGTGTAACTTGCATATAATGTAATATGTGATACTACAAGGATTTTAGGCATTAAAAGTTGCTGCTGTTTTAGATCGACTGTACAAATACATTTTATAACAGCTGTAAAAGCGCTCAGGCAGCCCTTAAAGGACGAGCATACCTGAGCAAAGAGACCAAACCATCTGCACCTTAATAATGAGTCAAACGCTCAAAAACAAACAAACAAAAACCTACACAGAATTCATTAGTGGGGGTGCAAAACACTGCTAAATGTGAGCAACAAAGTGACTCATCTTTGGGGCAGCATTGGCTATATTTCAGTGATGTTTTTTTAATTCCACATTGTTTTGTCCACTCCTGCATGCAGGACCGTGGGACACATTTCTCTACCTCAGCCGTGCAGGGGTTAAGAAAACAGTGCAGAGTTTCAGTGTTCCCAGCTTGGTACTTTGCAGTGAGGATGATTTAAAGCGTTCAGATTAGCTTCAACAATAATGTGTCTAAATGCAACCTCGTCCTGCAATAACATCCTCACCGTGGATTCAGATACCAGGGCGTTCGGAGGGCTGCTTTGTACCTCTGAAAGGATTTCATGAATGCAGAAAGTTAAAGCAACAACCTGCAATCTCTGACCAGCGAGCAGACTTGCAGAGTCCTTTTATGAGGAGTCAGTCTATCAGAATCAGAAGGTGTTCTGAACCCTGCTGGAGCCTTGACACTTTTGTTTACTTGTGGATTACGGACTGTGCCTAAGCTGTGATGTACCTACTTGTTAAATAGGTGGTTGTCCACTTTGATCTTGCTGTAGGCTTTAAAGTCATCTGGCATCAGCATCACTGGTACAGGCACATTACTTAACTCGTTAATCTGAAAGAGGGAAGTGAGAACGAGAGAGAGAGAGAGAGAGAGAGAGAGAGAAATGAGGAAAGAGCCTGAAGAAGAGTGCAAACAGCTGAACAAACAGACTGCACAATTACTGAGGAATAACACAAACCAAGGGAGCAATATTGGCTTTTGCAATTTTGATCTGAGCACAAAACCAATAAAAAAAAAACAAAACAGACTCCTACACAAAGTACTCAGTGAGTAGTGCAGGTTAATTTATAGAACAAAGCCACGACTACCTGTAACACAGCTCAGTATTTCAAAGCCGTTTCAAATCTCTGACAGTGATTAACTCGGGGACCAAAGAACACGCAGGCAGGTTTTCTTGCTGCTGCTGCGCCTCCAGACACTCGGCTCATTTACTGAAACTCATCCAGAGCAAAAGCGCAGTGATGAGCTCCGGAAAAAACCTTGCAAATCGCATAAATCACTTTATAGAGTGATGAAAAGGGACAGCACACAGTCACGGTGCTGCCATTTAGAGGAAATAAGTTCTTCTCATACTGGAAGTAAACAACACAGTCGGGTATGCACAAATAATCAGCTGATACTGGCTCTCCTGACTGATTATGGGATGTTAGACGCTGAAATTTGTTACCAATTTTGTGCTTCCTTAAAGTTCAAATGCTGCGATCAACGTTTTAAAGGTCGTCTAATTTTAGCTTTTCATCACGCAGAAAAATGAATATGTTTGGTTACTTTGTAACTTTTTTTTTTGAACCCATGAAGTGCCAACGTCTCCTGTGTTCAGTTTAGTGGAAGACGATCCTCTTCCTCTTATTTTGAAAGTTCAGCTCACATTTGGTTTAAAGTTCCCTTTAAGCTGCGACTTTCTGGAGGAAATCAAAAAAACCTTTGGGCATGGACAAGAGGCATCAGCTTATTACAAAATGCTTCTGATCCTAACACACTGTCCCTCAAAAGAACGTGGGAAATGGACTTAAATCTCAGCTTTACAGTGGAGGAATGGCATTCTCAGGAATCTGAAAAAATGTCACGTGAATTGCGTTCAAAATTGGTCCAATTTAAGATTTTAAATAGTTTACTGGACACCCTCACGGTTGCTGACGATGCATGCTGGAAGTGCCAGCAGGTAGGGCTGCCACGATTAGTCGACTAGTCACGATTATGTCGACTATTAAAATCGTTGAAGACTAATTTAATAGTCGAGGCGTCGTTTGAAGCTTTGTAAGATCACAAAAGATGCAGGAATAAGTAGCAGGATTTAAGAGTGTAATAACGGACTGAAACAGAAGATGGCAGCACTGCATGTACAAGGATGCCAGCTGCTGTTAAACCCCGAAGAAGAAGAAGCTGTGTCCCAGAATTCATAGCGCGGCCCAGCTAAGTTGTCAACAATGGCGGCAGCTAGTTAGTTTTAATATTACTCTTATTATTCTTTCTGAGTCACAAAATAAACGTTTAACATATTTCAGGCGAGAATGTAGCTGTGTAAACCTCAAATATCTGCTCAGTTTATCAGGACACCGCATATTTTCAAAAGCGCTCCGACGTTTTCAGAGACGTCTGTTACCCACCGCTAGCTCGATAGCTAGCCGGGGGCAAGGCTCACTAGAGCCGTGAGAACACCGGACTCCCGGCAAATCGTTTTCAAACCCACCGCCATCTTTCGCTACTCAGGTTAAACATGATATATAAGTCACTTAGATAACTTAAAAATGTTGTTGTTTGCCTTTTTTAAAGTATTTTATTGGTTCCTGATTAAATCGGTTTGGCTGAGATTAAAGTTAAGAGTTTTTACACAGCTGAATAAACGTCAAGCAGATTAAACTCCATCGAAACAATCTGCAAATGTCATTAAAATTTAATAAACTCTCATCTTGTCTTTATTTTTAGTTAGCACCTTAACAGATTAAAGCTGTAAGCTAATGATAGTTATATAAGAGCAGATGCTGCTGGTGCAATAAGCTGTATGTTTTACGTTCAAGGAAGCATGATCTGATTAGTCGACTAATCGCAAAAATAATCGGTGACTAGTCGACTATCAAAATAATCGTTTGTGGCAGCCCTACCAGCAGGGAAGCGGCACACTTTTACATTTGCTTTGGGGGTGCGCCAAAGTCCAAGATTATTGGATTCATATTCACACCGTAGTAGAGAAAGTTGTAGGTCAAGGGGTCCCATTTATGAACAGTCTTTACTTATTAGGAGACCCTTCAGCTTTGAGTCATTTACCCACTTCTCTTGTTCATTGGGTACAAACGGCTATTATGCTGGAGAGGAAGCCGTTGGTGAGTGGAAGGCCTCATCGACTCCTACCTTCTCTCAGTGGTATACCTCTTTGGGACAAGTGGCAGCTTATGAAAGATTATCATATAGACTGTGGGCGACCGTGGCTAAGGGGGTTGGGAAGCGTATCTGTAACCGGAAGGTCACCGGTTCGATCCCCGGGCTCTCTGTCCTGGTCGTTGTGTCCTTGGGCAAGACACTTTACCCTACCACCTACTGGTGTTGGCCAGAGGGGCCGATGGCGCAATATGGCAGCCTCGCCCAGGGCAGCTGTGGCTACAACCGTAGCTTGCTTCCACCAGTGTGTGAATGCATTGTAAAGCGCTTTGGGTGCCTTGAAAAGCGCTGTATAAATCCAATCCATTATTATTAAATAGACTGGACGACTATAACGACACATGTGCTAACTACTTTTCATACACAGGTCAGTGACGTATTCGGCTAAAGTAGTTAAGGTCGGACTAAATAGGATAGTTGTAATTGGGTCTTTGTGAAATATTGGCATCATTGTGTATTTATGTTATTTTGGATCTTTTTTTTTTTGGATGGAAACATGCATCGATTCTCAATTTGTTTTGTTGTTGTGACTGGGAATGTCCACTCTGTTATCTTCTGGGTGTTTTTTTTTTGTTGTTGTTTTAATATTAAAATCTAATAAAGTTTGAGTCATAAAAAAAAAAAGAAAAAAAATTAAGTTCAGCTCACCCCAGCCCTTCCCGCCCACATGATCCCCTCCCCTCCAGTGGATGTTTTGCCAAATGGTTGGACATGCTCAAACTTCTTAGACTCCAGCTCACATCAATAGTGCTCCTCCTGCTCTGGAGGGCACAGTAAACACAACCATGCACCACTACAACAATCTCACCACGGCTGCAGAGCACAACTCAGACCACTGCAGTCCAAGATGGGGGAGCTGGACTTCATCCGCAGGGGAGAGACTCACTGAAGAAGCTAGCACTCATACCGATCAGTAATGTATTTGCAGAGGAAAAACTTACAAAATTGCTCAAAGAGCTGTACATGTATGCCTCCCCACCATAAACTGAATCTATATTTAAGAGAATATAATGTTAGTATAAAATATTGGTATCAGCTGTAGGTCATACCACTTTCTGCTATCTGATCACACGCAGAGATTAGCTTTTACTTGCTGATTTCTAATTTTAAAAAAAGCACTCTACAGTCTTACCTCAAGCCACCAAAGATAAGTCCAATATTTTCAATTTGACAGAGGTGTTTGCCCATGACGATCAAAGTTTCCAAACCAGATTTTCAACATGCAGAGAATCCAGTTTGACAGCTTCCTCATACCGGAGGCCTTACGTGTGCGCCGATGTGATGCAAGAAAATCGAGATCAGCTCACGCTGTCTTTTAAAAATCAGTGTCGCGCGTCCATGTCAGTGAAGGAGTTTTGTTGGGGGATTAATAACATCACACAGGTGATGTCTCACATCACCTCATACACAGAGCAACAGTAAATCCTGCAGCATCACAGCTCAGGCTGCATTAAAAATGCATACGACTTCTGAGTGGAAGACGAAGGCTTTGATGAGAAGTCTGTTTGATGTCTTGAATCGGCTTCCCGCCCACACCTCAAATCGTCAGGACTTGTGTGCTGCTCCCACACACACACACACACACACACACACACACACACACACACACACACACACACAAAGTTCACCAGCTGAATAATGGAGATGCTGCAGTGATAGCCATATCATTAGCAGCTCACTTAATTCCATAGCAGTGTGCATTTATTTGCTATTCCAGGCAGGCACAGGCACTTCATGTAAATAGCATGAAGTGGGATATTCAGTCTCCCTGTCCGGATCGCCAACATGTCCCAGGGATCCTAACCCTTCTGTTACTACCTGTTAGACTTTGTGTTTTGTTAGTCTAATAATGAAGAATTCAATCAAGTATGACTGGAGCACAAATTAACAGGACCCCGGGAAGAAATGATAGCTTTGTGTGTCAAACAAGCAACATTTCAGCACCGGGAGTTCCCCAAGTCGGCACAATATTTTTCAAAAAACTTCTGTGTCACACCTCAGGGGGTTGTTTTTCCGCGCATCAATCAAGCAAGAGTGCAACCGCCCCTTCACAGCAGGCAGGACTAAACTGCTGGTGCATAGCCCACTCCATCCATCCATCACTGGTGTCCAATCTGCCCCTTCACTGAGCTTTTCATAGGCATAGGCAGCCTCGTCCAAAAGCGAATGCGATAGATTTTCTGCTCTATTTATAGTGAAATGATGTGATGGAGTAAACTGCAGCGAACTGGACGCAGGCGCGGAGTGCGGTAGCTGCAAACGCAAGTCTCAAGAGCAGGTTTATTTGAACAATAGGCAGGCTGCTGTGAGCAGCTGTGTGCAGCTGTGTGGAGCTGAAAATCTGTGTAACCTGCTGCTCCGGCTGCCTGTCACACCCCTCCCACCCCACGCCTGCACGCACTTACAGCAACAGCTCACGATACAGCAACAAGATACCGAACACATTTTACGATGGCAGCTCACTGAATGATCTCTCTCTCTCTTACACACACATACAAACGCAAAACGTATCACAAATATGCACATTTTCTCAAAAGTTAACCAAATAAAATCCCCGCAAAACTCGCGCTTCAGCCACAGCCACCCGCGGAGGCAGCGGCGGCAGCAGTCCGCTATTAACTGCACGAAAACGGCTGGATTACAGCCCAAGTACAGTGTCATATACTTGACTGAGTCCACGCATGAAAAAGATCAATTACAGGGCATCAAAACTGGCTTGACAGATGAAGGTAGCTGGCTAACAAGCTAGCATGCTAGCTAAATCAAAACAGCGGCGTAAACAAACAGCACACGGGCAGACTGCACAGGTATTTACCGTATGGTTGACACCCCACATTAAAACGCTGAGTATGGGCTCACTGGCGCGGAATAATTTCACTTTCTGTCCTATAAAATGCTTCTTTTTCGTCTTGGTTTTGCTGGCGCTGATGGGCGCTGCGCTGGTGCAGTTGGATGACATGTCTCCGGCTGGGGATTCAGGGTACGCAAGACGGCGGTCCGGGTCGTTCACACAGCGATAAATAAAAACTAAATCTGAAAGTACAGAGCGTTTTTCCTTTTCGAAGAAATCTATAAGTGCATCGTGCTCGTTGACCAACTCGCAGCGAGTCTCTGGGCAGGATGACTGTCTGTTTGGGAGTCAGCGGTGAAGCATTTTGCGCCGTCACCACCCTTCCTCCTCCCGAGCAGGCCGCGGCGTATCCACACAGCAGCTAGCCGGCCATCGGGTTACAGCGCGGCCTCGCTCTAAAAACAGCCTGCAGCGGAGAACCGTCGCCGAGGCAGATCCTCTTCTCTCCGCTCAACGCCTGCAACCCAACACTGATGCCGTTTTACTTGGAAGTGAGTAATCCCGTCATGATGAGCGTGTTGTCACCAGCCCAGCGCTGAGATCGGGGTCTCCTCAAGATGGCGTCCGTGCTGCACTTCACAGTCAACAGCGGCCCCAGCAGGCCAGCGGGGGAATTGCAGGGATTCCCACAGTGTACCGCTCAGGGTTTGCTGCTCGAGCAGTGGTTCTCCCTTTTTTTTTCTTCTGACTTGCCCCATTTAAAAAAAAAAAAAAGTTCATGTAGACTCCAGAATTTTCTTCGTTTTCTTTGATGGCTGTCAAACAACACTGAGGTGTTCTGTAGCCACCTGCTTGGCCGGAGTAATGAAAGGAGACTCCAAAACGCAGACCTGCATGCAGCACGGACTTGTGCATTTAAATTTACACCCAGCTTTCACAATACCCATTTAATTTATAGTTTCTATTTCTTTTTCGTCTTCTTTTGGCTGCTTCCTTTCATGGTCACCACAGCAGATCATCTCCCTCCACCTCACCCTGTCATAGAGGGCATGTTATCCCAAGCATCCCCTCTGCCTGTCCTCCTTTGCTACATCCATGCACCTTCTCCGAGGTCTTCTTCTCGCCTGGGAGCTCCACCTTTTTTTGGGGGGGGACAAGAATGTCCGATGTTGGTAGTAATTCTAATAAACGTGAGCACAAGAGAGAGGGAGACACCCTACAATGAACTGAAACATTAACTTGTTATTTATTCCTGCTTAAAACAGATTATTATGGATTTTGAAATCTTATTTGATTTTCATTTGTACTTATTGTACAGGCCAAGTGTGTCGCCAGCCCTCACACTTTATCCTGTTTTGTTTGCTTGTTAAGTTAGTATAAGATGTAATGACATGTGCTTTTGTATATTGTATATTCTGGTACTTTAGCCCAAGAAATATCATTTAGTGTGCATATTAGGGTTTGTTTAAATGAAATGGACAGAAAAGGTTTTTTAAAAATGGAAACACAACAACGATGTAGGCTGCGTTATGAACAAGGCAGGGACAACTTTGTGTCCTATTGTGTTTCAGCTGCTTTGTTTTCATTTCTGTTGCAATGCTTTCTGAAATTGTTTACACCTCAGGGTCATCGTATTACCGGCACACAATCGATCATGCGTCAGTGTGGTGTGACCCCCCACATGAAAGGCTCACCCAGGAAACTTTTATGGCAGGAAACATAAACGCTGTTCCACCAGAAACATGTTTCTAAGGGAGGGGAGGCGGCCCTTAGATATAAACAGTGGAGTCATTCTGCTCATTTCCAGCTTCATATTTTTTATTTTTGGTCCTAGAGTAGGCCTAACTTTACACAATTTCCAGATCATTGACTCTTGGAGCAACCCTCAGTTCATCCTCTGTTTGAAAAAAAATGTTTTTTTTAGCTCCTCCCCATTTTGGCCAACTTTCTTTTGATTGGCTTCCCCTCATAAGCAAAAGGTTTGAACAGCAGGTGGATGGGACTTAGCTGTGTCTAGTGTTCACATGTATCTGGTTGATGTTAATTTTCACTGCTAATTTTCCTGTGATTGTGTGGACTCTACAAGCCATTACTCTAAAATACAGCCACTACGCATGTAGCCTTCAGACTGACTCTAAAGAGAAATTCAAAAAGTAAAACAGGAAGCTCTCCATTTCTGCAGCTGTATAATCCTGTACTTAGAGAGATCTGGTCTCAGTGACATCAAACAGAGCCACACTGACTAGGATAGAATAGAATAATCCTTTAATTGTCCCAAAGGGGGAAATTTGGAAATTTGACCACATGATTTGAAACTTGCTTTATGTTTCTTTCTACATTAAGAGTAAATACAGGACAGAAAATAGAGAAAACTACGACATATCCCATGCAACGCTATTGAAAATTCACCCTAGAGACTGTGAGTGTTAGAAATTATCAAACTGACCTAACTTGAAACATTTTGTAACCGGGCAACACAAAAAATCCCAACGTTTATTAAACTGAGACAGTGGGTTGCAAAGATCTCCGAGATCCTTAAAATTAGAATATTAAGTCAGGCTGGTGCAGTTTTACATTTAAAATGATTGATACATGTCCACGAACGTATCAAGACTCAATATGTTCGTACTTTCCATCAAAGAAATGTAATTCCCTAAAATATCTTTGATATCAGTGATTTGTTTGAAATGCTTACAGAACTCTCCATAAACCGGCCTTGTCAGAGGTTTAGATGCTCTGCCCTGAGCGTGTCTGCACCAGGCGGGAGGACACTGGAGAACAGATGGCAGCTTCAGTAAAAACACGACTGAAGCAGGAGACTGCTGATGGGAAGTGCTGGTAAATGTTGAATTCTCTCTCTGCTGCCATAGTTGGTTTTGTTTTGTTTTCTTTACACAAATGACGTGTCCATCTTACATTGATGACGTATTAGGGGAAATTAATTGGTGCTCAAAATTTCCGTTTTATTTGTAGTACTCAGACTCAGTTTATCCTGCTGTTACATTTCTACCTTACGTGACCGCTGTCCGCACTGAGGGCGTCCACACATGGCTATTTAATTATTCTCAGCGGAGACGGGGGCGGGAGCTGGGGGAGGGTGGGGGGTTCAAGCCCTGACAACCTGCTTCCCAGAGGACACGATGGCTTTTAAAAGCGTCTAAAGAACAGATGGTAGCCACTGAGGTGCATTATGGGGGTTGTAGTTTTTGAAACTTGGTCGAAATCACAGCGTATTATTTCTTTATCCTGTTTTTTCAGCTTTGGTTGATTCGCAGGTGTAGATTTTGGGCGGTGGGGGTGTTGTCTCAGCATTTAGACGCATGAAGCACATGAATCTACAGCTCCTCTCCCCTGTGAACGACGCAGAGGAATTACCGAAGAGACAAAGACTTTTTTCATGCGTGGATAAAGACGCTTTCATGTCAATGCGGAAAATATGCAATAATTAATAAAATCAAGTGTCTGGCAATCACAGTTTCCTGGGAGATGGATCTACACCTATGGGTGCAAAGGTGCATTTCACTATAAAAAGCAAAAAGGGTGAAGCAGGATGAACAGATCCTGCGGAGCTGCTGTGGAGTCACTTTATTCAACACAAAATAAAAACGATGCTCTCCTTTGATTCACTCAGAAACATTCAGGAGGTCCAAACCCAGCATCAAAGAACTCTGATTTTTTTTCCTTTCGATTCTTACACTTTGTGCTTCAAGGTAAATGTGGAACCAGTGAATTTTCCTCCTCCTTTGTGATGTTGTGAATGAGACCGTACTTTCTTAAAGTCAGAAGTAACTTTTCTCATAACCCCCCCGAGTTTATTTCATGTCTTTAAACATGTGCTGTTATCTCAGCTCTACCTGGGGGATATTTCTAATTTCAGAAATTAGTTAGAAATTAGAAATTACTGCATGTCAACTAATCTGCCCTGAAATCTGTTAAGTTAAGATAAACCTTTACTAGTCCCACACGTGGGAAATTTGTTATTTTATGTTGTTAAATTTGTTGAAATCTTTTGAGTATTTGTTTTTCAGGTGGAAATCTGTGTTCTCTTTGTAAAACAATTATTAATTGTGTCTAAAAATGGCATTTGTTCAGTATATTTACTTGTTTCTTATAAAATAATTAAAATGAAAACGGAAAAAAACCCTCTCAGTTCTAATAACATCTCCCGGAGCTGGTGGGCCATCCGTGGGTCTCGGGCCCGGGGACACGAGGCCTGTAGGGCCTCTCTCCCTCGGTCATCCACAGAAACTCAGTCAGAGCAGCGGAGGGCGGGGCCGGGCGGGCCGAGCAGCCGCTGACTGACACAAATTAATCACAAGGTAGGAAATCAGAACAAGAAGTGCGGGGCTCGGCGTGTGCGGGACAAACACCGTGGACAAAGTGCGCGGGGCCTGCGGACTCTGAGTCTGGACACCCTCTTCGCCCCGTGAACGAGGCGACAAAATAAAGTCACGTGATCCAAAATGGGCAGTCCTCTGACGGTGCTGAAAAAAGCCATTTTCTGGCGCTGCTGCAAATTCTGTCCAAGTCCCAAATAACTGAGCCGCCCTGCGCCGCGAGGACGCGGACCCTCGGAGGAGAGACCAGGTAGGACCGCGCGTCGCGGATCGCTTTTGTTTATCGCGCTCATCGCGGCTCAGTTTGCGGAGGCGCAACGCGAGGCGCACGGTGTCACATTCGAGTCTCCCTTGTTCGCCTCCTGGTACAGCAGCCCTGTCAGTGGATTTAAGATGGCTGCTTTGTGTACCAGTGTGCTTTTCTGCGGCTCGGTGCCCCCCTCCGAGCCGCCGCTTTCGCCCGCGGTGCTGGGTTGAGGTGCGGGCTCGGACGGCGGAGCTCCGCGGGGAGGGGAAACGCTCTTTGTTGGGCTGGAGGAGATGAGCTGGTGCACGAGATGAGGCCACACAGGGGCGATCGAATAGCCCGCTGCCTGCCGTGTGCCCCTCACAGTCTGCGCTGAGCTGCTCGGCTCCTGCTCCCGGCTCGTCCCTGAACCCAGCACCGGGATTTGGGGGGCTTTCGTCGGGCTCAGTTTGTTGTGGTTTCGCGAGCCGCTGACGCGGTGCAGACAATGTGTGAGGGGATCCGGGCACAATGTGGGGGATGATCTGCAGTCTCCAGCAGTAAGCGCTCATAAAACCCCCTCACGTTCTCTGCTTCTTCTGCAGATCAGCCCAGATGGATAAAATGCAGCCTAACCGGATCAAAATCACAGATCTGAACCCACACCTCACATGCCCTCTGTGCGCCGGCTACCTGATTGATGCTACGACCATCGTAGAGTGCCTGCACTCCTGTAAGTTCCTCACATGAATGCACCACCTTACATGCATGCACACCGTTTCCATCAGACCTCTGCTCATGATGATGTTGAAGGGAGGTGAACAGGCGTGATGTTGAGTCACACACTCCACCTCAATTAGGCCTGTAGGAGGTCCACTTCAGGGACCACACTTGCACAGCAGCACATGACTGCATCTTCTGGGTTGTGTTGAAACTGCTTGTGCTGGATGTTCATGTTAAACGTGGGCAAAGTTTCAACTGACGGTCAAGAAATCCCTGTGAGCCAAAACGCCAGGCTTCACACTGACAGACCTTTCTAATCTTGGATCTGTGTGATGTCACAGAGAGGGGATATCCCTAATATGGGTTTCAGGAACCCATCAGAGCTAATCTACGGAGAGCCATCAACTCCTTATTAATGCTGCTGTTCTGAAAATTGCTGCAGGTAGCCTCAATGAATAAGAGCAAATGGAGCTAAATGGCTAAAATAGGTTCTGACACCTGCTTCGAGAACACTGGTGGGAAGCCAGTTTCATTCAGAGAGCCGTACTTACTTAAATGATACAAAGGACTACGCAGAGCTGAAGCACAGTGCGCCACATTTGCTAAACTCCACCACTTTGGTAGACATAAGGATAAGAATGAGTCCCACAACTTTCTGACAGGTTGGTCGCTCTGTGACCGTCTCGAGTACCACGACATAAAATAATCCACTGAAAAGCTGAATCAGTGTTTCCTTTTTATTTATATTCACCATCTGAGTAATAGACTAGGCCTGGTTTAGGTTTTCTTTCCGAGTGTTTGAGGCCGGTTTGAGACAGAGGGCTGGCCTCCTCTGGGACTTATTTTGCTTTTGTAAAGCCATCATTTTCTTTGTTTTTGTAAATGTGGTGTCAGTTGTGTAAATTAATTTCAATGACTGCTCCTTTTCATTTAATTTTGCCTTTAAAAACACTCTCGTCATACTAGATATTCAGTCCAGGCTCATGTTCCCTGGATGCTGTTTGTTTATAAGCAATAATTAAAACAGACATTAAAAAAAGTAATTAAGAGGTTTCCGTGTGTGGATAAGAAGGAGCTGCTTGTGGTGGTTGATGGAGACGCTATCAGGAGGCTGCTGCTCGCTTCGTGCCTGAAATCAAAATGGCAGATGCCATAAAGCTGCTCATGGTGCTGTGATGTCACTAAAATTTACAGAAAGGTATTTTACTGCAATCAAAACCCATAAAAGAAACTCTTGATCATTGTCCTTATTTCTATTGTCACAGACACGAGAACCAGCGTTAAAACAAAAACCAAAGAAAAGCCGACTGCAAGCGCAAGCGCACGGTTCCCACCCACCTGTGTAAGAGTAGCCAATCAAAAGAAAGATGGCTGGAAGGCAAACCGGCTTGTTTCAGACAGAGGAAGAACTGAGGGGATGCATGAAGGCTCAGAATAGGTAGATAGGGATTATTATGAATTGTGGTTCATGCAAAGCTGCTGTAGTAGAGTCAAAGAGTTAAACTATGAAGCAGAAATGTCTCGTTTCATTGTATGGCATCAAAAGCAGTCAAGAACCTGTGTTGACACATTATCACTGAGTAAATGAATAAAGAGAACGCTATCGGCACCAGGGAAGCGTGTCCTGCTATAGAGTGTCAGCCTGTTGCTATGCAGAAAACAGCACAAGCATAAAAACAAAATAATCATCATGAATTATAAAGTAAGGAGTGAATTGGCACATTTACCCAGTCCCTTAGTCTCATCAGGAAGTGTCCCAAATCCTGGAAGTGACCCAGGAATGTCAGCTTAGCAGCTTTAATAAGACCTCTCTTGAATTCTCCAGATAGTAAGGAAAGGTGCTTCAATGCGTCCTTTGTTACCTCCTTTAGCAGAGGACACACCGGACCATCCTTTATGAAAGGGGAGGTGTTCACAGTTCATAGATGAGGCACCATCCAACAAACAGTCGGCGTGACTGACAGGTGCTGCAGAGCATCTATATAAGTTTATACGTTTGTTTCCCAGTTCCTGGCTTCATCAACTGGTGCTAATCACATGAAGTACATGTCTTTATATGAGCTCTGTCAAACTAGTTTGGAAGTTTTATTAAAGATGTCAAAGTGTGTTTAAGGTTCTGGATAATTAAGCTTGAATGCCTGTTGTCGTATCGCAGCCTTTCTAATTATCATGAAATCTTTTCTTTTTGTTTTTTGGCTCACTGGAGGAAGTGATGGATGGAGTGATTTAGACAAAGATGAGGAAAAGAAAGATTACTCTGAAATGTGTTTTATTTTATAGGTTTTATGTTCTGTTTTTTTTATAATGAAGAGATATTTTTCACTGGTGGCTCTGGTTTAGATGACCTGCATGAGGCAGCGTGGTGAGAAAACAGGGGGAAGTGTGTTTTGTAGCAGCAGACATCCTCCATCAGGCTGGTTAGCAGTCCGGTGTGAGCGCAGATGGATTCTCTGAGCATCCAGCTTCTGTGCCTGAGTCCTTCGCACTTCTGCTTGACCTCGTCACACTGAGGTCACGGAAACAGAGGCTGGACTGCATCACCGCAGGGAATTTTCCTTTGTTAATGAATTTTAGGGCAAAGTCTGCAAACATTTAAGCATATTTTCAAAATCAGATGTCCTGTTGAACGTGCACATTACATTTTAAAGTAAATTGAATTCATATTATGCTTCAAGATGGCTGTCGAGTGGCGAGATCTTTTATTTACTTTATCGCGCACATACACCTGTGGAGATGTTGGGTTAATTTTGGGTGCTGTGGACACCAAACACACACAAACACACAGCTCTATGTAAGTGCTTTTTCACTTGAGCACTCACTGAATTTGGTTCAGGATCTTCCCAAAGGACACTTCTGTGTGCAGACTGAAGGAGTCGGGGATTGAACCACAGACCCATGGGGCCTGTTCAATCTCCTGAGCCTTAGCTGTTAAAGAGGCCTCTAATGACACAAAAAACCCTTTAAAATAGACAAACGCATGAAAGAAGCGACATTACTAAAACCTAACTGTATGCTTTGCACCGAGTCTTCATCCTGAGGGTAAAGGAGGAGAGTGTTCTGGTCTTTCTGCTGCTCGTCTTCTAACAGCTTGTTCTCTCTCCACATGTAGTTTGTAAAACATGCATCGTTGCCTTCCTCGAGACAAATAAGTTCTGTCCTCGATGTGACGTCCAGGTCCACAAGACGTGTCCACAGCTCAGCATCAGGTAATCCAGTCTGCTTCATGTCAGTTTTTTTTCCTAACCTCTCCAAATTCATGTTTCATATCTGACACGAATGTTTTTCTTTTCTGTTTTTCATTCCAGAGCAGACAAAACTCTGCAAGACATTGTTTATAAGCTCGTTCCGGGGTTATTCAAAGGTAATGACCACAGTTTTGGGAGGCAGCGAAGGCTTACTCATATCTTTGTCATAGATTTCAGTTTCACGATGCGCGTGGCTTTCCCGCAGATGAGATGAAACGGAGGCGGGACTTCTACGCAGAGAATCGTGTGCTGGAACCGGGGGAAGTGGTGGAGACGTTCAACATAGCAGAGGATGAAATTATCAGTCTGTCCATACAGTTCTACGAGAGGAACAAGTGAGTCAGTCATTTCCTCCTTATTTTTATTTTACTCGAGAATAAGAGCGAGAACCGTTAATCTGTGGTCTGTCGCACTAAAAGCTACTGCTGAGAGAACAGCGAGTCCGCCTGCGTGTGTCCTCTTTTATATTTGCTCTTATTTAGCTGTTTATGTGCATGTATAGATGGAGAAGATTTAGTTCATCCTCAAATTTTGTCAATTATTTTTGTTACAGCAGCCAAAAGTGGAAAAACAACTTGGCTCAATAAAAACATAGATTAAAAAAAAAATCTTTCTATAGATATCTAGATACAGATATATATCACTTATTAAATATTATAATTCATGTATAATGGGCAGCTTAGTAAGTAAAATCTTCCTTTAATGAGATAAATGAGAAAAGCCTGTGAGTGGTGCAGAGGGCGTCTCAGGTCATTTGTCATCTATGGGTATGCACAGACATTTGGATGAGCTCTGTTCAGCTGAATCCAAACAGTGTGCTGATTCAAACTGAAATCATTCACCAATGAAGGAGGAAAATTCCCCCAGCAGCTCATATGGACTCAGTCAGACAGCTGCGAGTTCAATATTCAGGCCACACAAGCAGCCAGACCAGACTTCCACCGCTCTTCCTTCACAAACTGGACATTCCCTCCACATTCCTGCTTACTGCTCAAATTAATATCTGTTTGCCCAGAAGTCCCAAAACCAGGTACGGTCAGATCAGTGCAGGCTCAGCTACGTTTCACTGCAACCGAGCGGTTCTTTTTGTCCAAACACCTCGTGTTCTCCACGATGACAGCTGGATGAAATGGTTTATATTTCCTCATCTAAGATTTCCATTTAGCTTTAGCTCTGAAATCCTGTGCCCTGCTCTGCAGCTCCTCCAGGGTTGCAGGCCTCGCTCCCATCAGCACAGTCAGCTGAAGACTCTCCATTGCTGAGAGCGTAAAAAGAAGGAAAACCACACGTAGGCATGCAGAACCTGATTTGACAAGACTTTTAAAACAACAAGTAGTCATTTCACCTCTACATAAAACACAATCTACCACAAAATATGACTTTATCTGTGAATAACGTTGTTAAAATCAGAAATAAAATGAGTTGAGTGAACAGCACAATGCAAACGGTTACGTAAAAGTCCATAAAATACTTTAAAATACTATAAATACTAATACAGTATTTATATGAATCCCACAGCTGTTAGTTAATATTAAAATAACAATATTATCAGAACAGTTTTTTTCTTCTCGCTTCAATGTGTTTGTAACTGGAAGCTTTTGATCATGAAGCGAACAGAAGCAGCTTCCAGCCGGGTCCCAGATTTGTCCAGGCACAATTTATCTGCAGCTCTACGTGGAGTTTTGTTTTTGTTCCACCAGCTGCAGTCTGATTCCTGCGAAAAACTCGTAAATATCATTAAAATGTAAAGAAATTTAATTATTGTTTAACTGCTTTTTAATTTCCCCCTGCAGAAATAATGAGAGGCAGCATTCAGAGATGGAAGGAGACAAGGTAAAGCAAAGATGTTTAAAAGCGGCAGCTGAAGTTAGCCGGTGTAATTATGGTTTTCTGGTCCTCATCCTGGATTAATGCATCCCTCTCTGCTCTTCTCTTTGTTCTCAGTCCAACGGTAAACGCTTCCTGCAGTGCCCGGCAGCCATGTCCGTCATGCACTTAGCGAAGTTCCTCCGCAGCAAGATGGATATACCCAACAACTATCGGGTAATTGGACACACCGCAGCCCCGCACAGTAACGTTTGCAGTATCGATTCTGCAGACAACTTCAAGGCTGAGGTGCAAAAATATAAACGCTTTGTTGTTCCACAGTAGCTGCTACAACGGCGAGGTCATATTGGGTTGCATTTGTGGGCTATAAAAGAGTTCTGGCAATCATCGCGCTGATATGTGAGCTTTCGGTGCAACGTGATAACAAGCAGACGCTTACCTGAAGTGACACTGCTCCGAAAACTGCAAAATTATTAATGCTGCTTTCATTTTTTTATGGAAGCAGTAGATCAAATGAAGTCAAAGGAAACCCACAAGCGAATTACAACCCAGCTTCACACGATTCACCTTGTTTTCGGGGTGGTCTACATGTATGTAGATCCCTTAGCTCAGATTAGCACAGTATATCTGGCTATTCAGAGCCCTGCTTTATAGGTGTGGAGGAGTTGTTCCTCACTCGTGTGGGTTTAGTATTCCAGGTATGTGCCACTTGATAATAAAGTCAGGCGGCTTGAAAGACATTTTTAAAAACACATTTTCTCCACAAAAAGCTGCTTTGATTTCTGCTTGAAGAGGAAGATGAGCCAGGCTGAAGGATTTCACACAAGTCAAATATGTGCAACTTAATCCTATTTGTATGAAATGGTACGTGATTAAAACTGTAGAGCGACGTGGAAAAAACAAAGCTGCGCCTCAACCTCTTTGTTTTCAGAAACACGGGTGAGGTAAACCGTCAGGAGCATAAACTGGCCTAGACACAGATTCACGTAAATCTTGGAGTCTGTTTAAATCCAGAATTATCTTATTTGTACGCAGGGAAACAAACCTTTTGCCGTGGTCGTTTATGTCGGTACAAACTTCAAACAGCTCGCCTGGCAGAGGACGTTTTCCCCCGCTAACGTGTTAAATGGGTTTCACGGTGTGTTACAGGTGGAGGTGCTGTATGGGGACGAACCCTTAAAGGACTACTACACACTAATGGATATCGCTTACTTCTACGAGTGGAGACGAGTGAGTGAAACCTTTCATGTCTTTGACTTTGAAACAAACATCAGCAGCTTGATTTGAAATGAGGAAAAATGTATTTATTTATTTTTTTTTAAGGGTCTGTTTGGAATGTGTGTGTGTGTGTGTGTGTGTGTGTGTGTGTGTGTGTGTGTGTGTGTGTGAATATATATATATATATATATATATATTATTATGTAAAAAAAAATGCATTTAGGCTTGTAGACATGGTCGAGACAGTCTGCTGAAATACAACTCGAGTATCAGGATTAGGGCTGCCACGATTAGTCGACTAGTCACGATTACGTCGACTATCAAAATCGTCGACGACTAATTTAATAGTCGACGCGTCGTTTGAAGCTTTGTAAGATCACAAAAGACGCAGGAATAATAGCAGGATTTAAGAGTGTAATAACGGACTGAAACAGAAGATGGCAGCACTGCATGTACAAGGATGCCAGCTGCTGTTAAATCCCGAAGAAGAAGAAGCTGTGTCCCAGAATTCATAGCGCGGCCCAGCTCAGTTGTCAACAATGGCGGCAGCTAGTTAGCTTTAATATTACTCTTATTATTCTTTCTGGGTCACAAAATAAACGTTTAACATATTTTCAGGCGAGAATGTAGCTGTGTAAACCTCAAATATCTGCTCAGTTTATCAAGACACCGACATATTTTCAAAAGCGCTCCGACGTTTTCGGAGACGTCTGTTACCCACTAGCTCGATAGCTAGCCGGGGGCAAGGCTCACTAGAGCCGTGAGAACACCGGACTCCCGGCAAATCGTTTTCAAACCCACCGCCGTCTTTCGCTACTCAGGTTAAACATGATATATAAGTCACTTAGATAACTTAAAAATGTTATTGTTTGGCTTTTTTTTAGTATTTTATTGGTTCCTGATTAAATCGGTTTGGCTGAGATTAAAGTTAGAGTTTTTACACAGCTGAATAAACGTCAAGCAGATTAAACTCCATCTAAACAATCTGAAAATGTCATTAAAATTTAATAAACTATCATCTTGTCTTTATTTTTAGTTAGCACATACCTTAAACACTTAAAGCTGTAAGCTAATGATAGTTATATAAGAGCAGATGCTGCTGGTGCAATAAGCTGTATGTTTTACGTCCAATGGATGCATGATCTGATTAGTCGACTAATCGCAAAAATAATCGGTGACTAGTCGACTATCAAAATAATCGTTTGTGGCAGCCCTAATCAGGATAAGGAGGAAAGGTGATTTAAGTGACTTTGGATGTGTTGTGGTTGTTGGTGCCGGGCGGGTTGGTCTGAGTAGAAACGGCTGATCTTCTAGAATTTCCCCTCCCAGCAATCTCCAGGGTTTACAAAGAATGGTCTGAAAAACAGAAACTGCCAGCAGTCGTCTGACCTGTGGCTTTAACAGGGTGTTTTTGCCCAGAGGAGAATAAGCAGAACTAGGGAAAAAAAAGATTTCCCAGAGGTAACCGAAGCCGTTGTATCCACTGTCCTCACTTCAAAGTCACCAGACTTGATTTGTTAATCTGGGACTTTTTGGTTTGAACAAATCCTCACTCACTACTTTTGCTAACTACTTTTACTCCCCTGTCCCGTAAGTTAAAGTTCTTGAATCCAAAGGTGTCTGGTGATTTGAGGAGAGGACTATACCAGCTTCATTTCCCCGACTGTAAGGGAAAAATTGTAGAAATGTTTTAAATGTAGTTTAAATTGTATGCATTAATCTTACAATTTAAACAAGTCTGCCTCTCCCAACAAAGGGCTGTGCCGACGGCCGTCTGCTGTCTGTAATAACCGACTCTACCAAAGAGTACCTCGCATAATCCCATTTCAAAAAAATCCAAGTAAATCCTTTGAGAAATTAAAAAAAACGAGGCAGACTAAAGTCTGATGTGATGGATTACTGTCCTGAATAAACTTCAAGTCCTTACAGGCTGAACTGGTATAAACTGTAAAGTAAAACCAGGAACTGCTGGGAAGGAAACAGAGACGCTCCTAAAAGAACAAGCTCAAACAGGACGACTGTGTGGCCACGATGACTGTGCTTCATCAGGCCGACGTTGTTAAAACTGCTTGGGTTGAGTGGTTTGGAGAGAAAGTTAGAGAGGCAAGGCTGAGGTGGTTTGGACACGTCCAGAGGAGGGCTGGACAAAGGATGCTGAAGATGGAGCTTCCTTGAGTAGGGAAAGAGTAAGAGCACAAAGATTCATGGATGGAGGGCATGCAGAGGGGAGGCCAGGGATCAGGTGAGATGGAGGGAGATGATCTGCTGTAGCGACGCCCGAGGCAAAGCTTTTCCCAGCGACAGCAACAGTTTACTACTTTCATCAGATGCAGTGAAATCTGACTGAGCTGTTTTCAAACGCATATCGCAGCCCCCCACGCTTCAAGCGACTGTGTCAGACTCGCTCACATCAAATGCTTAAGCCACCAGTTTCCCAGGTGGGGTCACAAAGCGAGCAGACACCCTCAACCCCTCGTTCCCAGTAGAGAGGAAGATCTGATGTCCAAATCTCTCTTTCAGGGTTTATTTTCCCGCACATTAAACGTTTTGGTCTTCTACCAAAGAAATGATCACTTGATGACCTCATCGAGCACAGCAACGGCATCCAGATTAAAAATTGCAACAACGCAAAAGAGGGACTTCAATTAGAGATTTGTTCTATTATGTCTTTACTAACTGTGAAACCTGCATCTCAGTTAGCATGGTTTATCCTGCTTTTCACTGCAACTAGGACCATCGTTTACAAAGTGAACTTTATGATGATTTTTAAGACAGTAAAGTCTTCAGCAAAGTGTTTCCAGAGGGAGCAAACATCTTTTTGCAACTACAGATATCACCCCCTGCTGGTCGTTAGAAAGAATGACAATCTGAGGCGTTTTTATATATTGACGTCACTTTCTTTGAATCCAGAAGCTGTGTACATCTTTTATATACAGTCTGTAATTGTAGGCTGGAATATACAACAGTCATTTATCTGTGTTGACTGTCTTTGTGAGCAGCTGGGTGAAGCATTGCTTTGAATTTATCTTTGAAATGATCAGATCAGTCAGCCCTCTGCTGATGGAGGTAGTAAAAGATGCACTTGTTTTTTTGGGTTAGTATTTTGAGGATTTCAGCTTTTATTTCAGCTGCTGCGTCATTGATCCTGTCCTAAACAAACGTGGTGCCCAGATTAGCAGAGTAGCTGTTGGGTTCCTAGCTATCAGAGGACAAATACCCTTTTGTTGGTTTAGTGTTTATTGTACGTGTGGGACTAGTTTAAAAATGGACTCTGTGTTTTTAAGGGATTTCTTAAGGTCCTGTAAACTCCTGTAAACACATTTTCCCTCTGTATCTCTGCGTCCGTGCAGACTGGACCCATCCCTCTGCAGTATCTGGTCAAACCCACCCGGAAACGCCGGAGGCCGTCCCAGTCTGCTGCTCAGGGCCACTCCGACGGCGTCAACACCAGCCCAACGTCGGAGAGCGACTCTCAGAGCGACAAAGTCCACAGTCCCGCTGCCGCTCAGCCGGCCCGAGCCTCCTCTCAATCCAGCCCGGCGTCCCACAACCTCTCTCCCGCCATCCAAAGCTCCAACGGTACCACTGTGTCCAACAACGCTCAGCGACACGCCCTCTCCTCCAAACAGGCCGCTCGGAAGGTGACTGTCAACGGCACGAGCTCCGGGGCCAGCAAAGAGGAGGCGAGGGGGGGCGACAAAAGCGGCCTGCCTCCCACGACCTAACGCGTGCGCACACGGCGGCGAGGAGGACACTGTTTGAATTGCTTCCTTGTTTCTTTGTGCAGAGCAAAGACAGCTCGGGCCTTCGTCCTTCTGGAAATGCGGGAGGCAGATTTGTGTTATCTTCCAGCAGGACAGACTGAAACGTGCAGCCAAATAGACACTTGTATGTATGTGCGTGTGCGTGCGTGTTTATGTGTGTTAGACTAGAACAGTGCACACATACAAACTGTACAGTATGTATCAAATGTGAGCATGTGTGCGTACATATGTATAAACTTATCTTTTATACAAGATATTGTAATCGTTTTGTATTGTACACGCAGTGGGTCTGTTTCATTTCCATAAGCATCGATTTGGCCTCCGTGAAACTTGAGACAAAATGCTGAAAGGCATTGCAGTGCGGCTCACTGCTGAAGCTGGATGTAAAGACGAGGAAGAGAAACTCTTGCTTTAAACAGTCAGACGTGTCAATAACTGCTGTATAAGTGTCCAGTATAAGCAACAGCTCATCAGGTAACACATGCTCATTAAACTGTTGATGCACTTTGTTACGGTCACTTCACACAAACCGACAAGTATTTTCCCGACAGGAGAAGCATTAATATTTACAGAAGCACTACCAAGCTGTTTGTCAGCGTTCTTTCCTTCATGGCAGTCGAAGAACTCAAAAGGGATTTTTGAATATTTGGCCATGTATGTTGTAGTTCCATGCATTCCAAGCATTCCTTTGATTTTTTTTTTTCTTCTTTCCGTTCAACAATGATGCTTTGTTTTTGTTTTTTTCCAATTACAAAAAAGCAGCCATATGTGCATGTTTTAGGTCAATAAAATGTTTACTTACTAGGTTTTTCTGACCCGAGTGTCCTGTTTATGCTCCAAACAAATGTTTGCTTGACATCCATCCCGCCGACTCGTTCTCATTGTCCTCCTGAGAAGAATCAGACCGCCTTCCTTCATTTTAACGTGGTGTGAATTAAATGTTTGGCACAGCTGCATTATAAACAACTACAGCTGTATTTTATCATCTGAGATGTAACAGTGCTCATTACATTTTTTTTTTTTTTTTTCAAAATATTTAGGGCGACTTCTAATTAAATTCACAACATGGTGCAAAGTGGCAGGACAGTTTTTTTTTGTTTTGTTTGCTGTATTTAATCATTGCTTTGAATGCAGGTCCTTTCTGAGTGGGTACTCTAGCTTCCTCCCACAGTCCAGAGACGAGCAGTTCGTGGGGTTAGGCCAGGGGTGGGCAACTCCAGGCCTCGAGGGCCGGTGTTCCTGCATGTTTTAGATGTGTCCTTGAACCAACACAGCTGATTTAAATGGCTAAATTACCTCCTCAACATGTCCTGAAGTTCTCCAGAGGCCTGGTAATGAACTAATCATGTGATTCAGATGTGTTGACCCAAGGTGAGATCTAAAACCTGCAGGACACCGGCCCTCGAGGCCTGGAATTGCCCACCCCTGGGTTAGGCTCACTGGTGATTATAAATTGCCCGTGGGTGTGAATGTGAGTGTGAAGTTTCATTGTGTTAACCCTGAGGTTAACAGGAGAAGATGGATGGATGGATGACAGCTGTGGAAATGAAAGCAACACTCGATCATCTCAGTATAACACAAGGTCAGTTACACTTTAGGAACGACAGTCTGTCCAGTAGGAACGATCAACTTTTGTGAGTCTTTGTCACTATTGGTAGCAGGAGACAATGTCTGAGCATGCTCCTGGATGGACAGTGCTATTTGGTAGCATCAGATGCATAACATCTGAGAAGTACTCAGTTAGATTCAGGACTGGGGACCTGATCCCATTCTCCTGGAGTCTGATAGTCTAGTCAGAAACGTGTATGAGCAGCTTGCTGTAGGTCACTTTGTAAAGCTCTGGTAGTGCTCCTCGTGAGCAGATACCAGTCCTGCTGCTGGGTTGAAGCTCTTCTACATCGCTCCTCGCATCTGTTTACTGGTATCTCCTTCATTGTCTTGAAACTGTGCTGGAGACAGAAACCCCGTGATGGCTCGTATAGATGTGCCATCATGGAGCAGCTGGAAAACCTGTGCAACCTGAATTGAGTGCAGGTACTGTCTCATGCTATGAGTAGTGAGAAGGACCCCAGCAAAATGCAAAACCAGAGAAAAATTAGGAGGGATAACCAGACAGCAGTGATCTGTGAGCCTTAAGTGGCTCATCTTGTTCTTGCCTCTTCAGTGCGCCTTTTTGGAATGTGTTCTCTAACTGGAGAAACTGATATCCTGAAGGGGCAGGATATGGGGCCAGAGCTGCTTTAGCAAAAGTCCTGTTAAACAGATTTCCCAGCTAGAGCCATGAGAATGACATTTGTATTATTATTTAAAACCTTAACAAAGACATCAGCTCAGAGTACAGACTGCCCTGTTTATTTTTACTTTACATACACCATTCAAAAGTTCAGTGGAAAGAAGAGAGTGACTTGTCTCTGTGGAGTGAGCAGTGTGGGCTAATGACTGTCACAGCCTGCCACCAACTCCAATTTCATCTCATGGACACAAAACTGGAGCTTCAAAATCAAGGCCAGCGTAGCACTGCATCCCAACTTCTTCATGGACCGCCTGCCGGGTTGTTTCCGCAGGAATCTTAATATTTGGCCTTCGATTAGCTAAATACCCCCAGTATAAACTGCTCGCTGTTTTACCGTAAAGTCATCCTAATGTGACTGCAACAGTGTCTTTGTCATGAAAGTCGAACTGATGAAAACACTGACAGGAAACGCACCCCCCTCCACCCTCAGGACTCTGCTGGTTCATGTAGCGGAGCAGACGCAATGAAGTCCTGCTTGTGCGTGCCGTCGCAGTAGGGCGGGTTGCTTGTGTGTTTGCATCCACACAACCAAACCGAGGCGTCTTTCTCTGGGACGAAGCGTAGCGGGGAGAGGCCCTGGGCTCGGGTTTTGTGGCTTCCATCACAGAAAGGCTGAAAGAAATCAGAAATCAAACCCCAAATAATGCTGGAACGCTCATTTAGACAAGAAACAATGTGTAAAACTACTGTTTTAAATTTATTTACAGAAAAAAGCTTTCAGCGTTATAAATGGATCGGATAGTTTTGGAATTATGAAACCAATAAATCTGAAAATAATCTGAAACTTTACTCTTTAAAATGTTAAAATTTATTTTTTCTTAATTTATTAAACAAAAAACAAAGCAACATTTATGTTTACGATGCTGAGATAATGACTGAATAAAACACCCGTGAAGCTGCCATAGGCTCCAGCGTGAACCCTGAATTTGACCAACAAAAGAAAGCGAATGATTGTGTAGGGCAGGGGTGTCCAACTCCAGTCCGTGAGAGCTTCTGTCTTGTAGCTTTTAGATGCATCCCTACTCCAACAAAGCTGGATCAAATTATTGGATTACCTCTTCAGCATGCCATCAAGTTTGGCAACAGCCTGGTAACAAGCCATTCATTTGATTCAGGTGTGTCGCAACAAGGATGCATCTAAAAGCTGCAGGACCTGGAGTTGGACACCCCTGGTGTAGGGATTCACCTGCTTCCTGCTGTGCCCACAGGTGCACCACGAGTAACGCTTCCCACCAACCAGCTCCACCTTGAAAGGCTTCTTAGCTGGGATGACTGGTTCAGGAGGAAGTGTGGACAGCTTGACCTGAGGAAGAGGCAAACTTCTTTTAAAATACATTAAGCCAGTTTATTAGGAATACCATCCAATGTGGTGGGGGCTTGATTTTCACTGTCTCTGTGTTAGTTTGTTTCCTCCTCATCAGCCTTGGCTTCAGCTATCCTTCCTGGGTACACTTATGCATTCACACATATAAAATCTCCACTTACATAAACAAGCAAGCTCTCATACTGATATTACTGAAGTTCATAGAAGGCTACAGGCCTTGAGGGTACATACAATGCTGCTCAAAATTCATATTAAACCTACAGTTCCCCACGTGATTTCTATGTTAGTGTAAGAATGCCTGTAGACTAATTAAAATCTAACCAATGAGGCCTCTAACCTCCATTAAAGCAGCTGGAGGAGCTGCGATGTCAAACATCTGTTTTCCATTTCCAGTTTGGGGAAAATAAAAATACAAACTTGGCTCTGCGTGAGTTGGTTAGCTTAAATGTGGTACAGTTTCTCCAGTGCATTACTTTTTAATGTGTGTGAAAACAAATGGCCCGTTAACAGTGCAGCAGCAGTCTGCATCACATTTAGAGAGGCTAACATGTGCAGCGGTTACCTTGGAGGCTGCCGTAGCGGCTAACCAAGGGTGCCTGAAGGTGAAACTGATCCATTTGGGCTCTAATTTGGTCACCACCGTGTTCATGTTTCCTCTGACAGCTGAAGGAAGATCAGCTTCTGACACCAGCTGACCAGCAACAATTTAAGAATCACGCGACAAACGTTGGAGACAAGTACCGCAAGCAAGGAGAGTCAAACGGAGACAGAAAAGCAAAACATAAACTCGGAGACGCAAGACAGCTAACTGAAGCTGCTAGCGTCCTCAACAGTCACGTGTTAATAGCTCAACCAATCACCGGGCACATGTCGGAGAAAGGCAGACTGAATGGAACTGATTTGGACATATGGAGGACCAAAATTGAAGTATAATGTATAGATTTATACATTATTTTACCAATATTTATAAGTCACAAGCTTTGAAAATATGAGCTATGCTGTAAGTATGTAACAAAATTTTAAAAACAGCAGAGAATAGGATGTATTTTTTACTCTCTTGAATGAAATCCTTCTGTGATTCAATGAAACACAGAAAAAGATGAAATACAATAACACGTACAAACAACTAAATTTATTTAGGGACAGAAGAAAGAAGCTAACACAATTAATAATATCAATTTAACCTATATACAAAATAAAGACTAAAAAAATACATGCTACTATTAATAAATTGCGTCCCCTTTTTTTTACTATTATTTTTATTTTATTTTTTAAGTACACGTCAAAAGCAAACTAGACAATGTAAAATTAAACTAATAATAATACCAATAATTATAAAATAATCCCAAATTTTATTTGAAAATGTCAGATAAATAGTTTGCAAAATATAGTTCAGCAGATCATGTAGAGAAACTTTACACGAAATACACAATTGTGTCAAAACCTGGAGCGGAAGAGCAACTAATCTGTTTCTAAACGAAACTTTTAAAAACTATTCCTACAGAGATGCAGCTTCAGATTCCAGAAGATAGTTTATTGAAATACAGTTTCAAAAGCCTCTCCACAGGTTAACCCTTAACAAACGACTTGAACAAAGGTGCCATACACAGAAAGGCCTTCAGGGGGCGCAGGTGCTCTCCGTCTCCAACTATACTCAGAGCTTTATGTAGAAACTCTTGGGACAATATCAGCACACACACACATCTTAGACAAACACTGATCATTTGCTCTCGAAACAACCTGTGTTGTGAGACAAATGTGTAAATTTCTAAAGTATATGAAGCGTCAATGTGACCAAAAATAATGTTTTAGTACGATATGTGTGATATTCCCATGTTTAATGTTTACTATGAGATAACTTTCCTTTGGCTGAACTGGTCTAATACACTGATTAACTGAAGATTATTGAGTAAATCATAATAATGGTACTCTTCAAAAATAATATTTCAAATAAAATGGGTCAAAGGGCAAAATATTAACGATTATACTTTCCACACAAAACACTTCAGAGTGCAGGTCAAAGTGGATATACTAAAAAAAATTTAACAAAGCTTTAGATAGAATAAACAAGGCTGACTGATTATTATTTTCTTATTTTGAGGATTAGCTCAAAGCCAAAGCAGATAAATAGAATATAGCTGCCTTTTTCAAAATTATTTCATAGTGTCAGATTTCATGTGAAACTAAACAAGCAAAATATCATATTTACCAAGTTTATTGCATTTGACCTCAAATAACAACACAGAAATTGTATTTAACATACAATGCTGTTTCTATCTGACAAAAGCAGGGGCGGACCAAGAAAAATATTCTTAGGGTGGCATGGAAATCTAATGGGGTGGCAAAATCAAAACCTTTTTAAAAAAAAAAACCCAAAATAAACAACACATATGCAGATTCAAATGCAGTAAGTATACACGTTTCATATAAATATAGTCTTAATTATTTTCTGTAGCCCACATGATTAAACATTTCAGTTACTTAAAATGTGATTTTATGTACTGTATAACCTTTATAATAAATATATTTATAAATATATTGCTGCACCACATTTACACACACAAGTCTAACTTAAGTTTCACTGTTTTTTGTTAGACAAAAATCAAATTGTTACATGGTTAAATTTTTAAAATTGTTTGCGCTATGGTGCTAATGGTGGTGGTGGTGGGGGGGACACTATGCAATGTATTCAGTTTTAGAATAGCCAGGCTCAAAGTGTTAATGCTATCTTATCTGTTAATAAACAACACTGTCATATGCAAAACTAGGGTGGCACTATGGGTGGCAAGAGATCATTTTAGGGTGGCACAAGCCACCCCATGCCACCCTTCTTGATCCACCCCTGGACAAAAGCAGTAATCTGACTGTGACTCAGTACCACACTGGATAAACTGAATACAGCACTGATGAAATTAGCTATTGTGATTGGTCCGTTCAATGAGTAATTCAGTGGAGTTAAAGATCTTCACACAAGAAAAAAAAGTCTCCAAAAGCCTCCATAAAAAGAAGAAAAACATTTGTAATTTTTATTTGGACAGCACCAAAAGCAGATTTACAAAAACACATAATGCACATGGTTTAACCTTCTCCTGCCTACCCGTTACGTTTTATCATGTGCATACAAGAATACATTTTAAAGCCAACACACTAGACTTTCAAAGGTTACCAAAACTTTAGTAGAAACTCCTCTAAGGGGCCGACTCAGGAGGTCTGGAGTCACGCAGGAGGTGTTGGAAATGCTGCCTCAGGTGATGTCATTGTGACATTAACACAAAGTTTTCCCACAAAGCATTTTAATGGAATATATACTTGTCTGAAAGGTTAACATACAAAAGCAGTTTATAACAACAAAAACTCCATCTGATTTACCCAAAACAAACAAAGCAGCATTACATGATTTTAATATAAAAAAATATGATTTTTTTTAACCTGATAAAACTATTGGATAACATGATTATGATGCATCATTTCCTGTAAGAAGACATCATTTAAAGATGCCTTTCAGATACTTCACTACATCCTGGTAGATGACTTTGAGGTGCGAGCCATCGCAGTACGGAGCGTTTTTGGTTTGCTTGCAGGCACACAGCAGGACTGTCCTGTCTTTCTCGGGGGTGAAGCGAAAAGGAGAGATACTCGGAGCTTTTTTCGTGTGAGTGCCGTCGCAGAAAGGCTGAAGAAGAGGAAAAAAAGCGGGTTGAAGACACAAACTTGAAACTTACTTTTATTAGCCTAAAAATGACAGGATGCATGTGCCGCAGACGTATGGCAGTAAGCAATCACTGTGGATGAACCCGGCTATAAGCTGCTAATAAGACAGACTGAAAGGTCTCCTGCTGTCGCTCCTCAGCTGACACATTAGGACTTTGAAACTGTGGACTGAAATTGGTTGTTGCTGGTGAGCAGTCTTCATCACCAGTGATGATCCCTGATACAGAACTGAGGTCAGTTTTAAGTAAAAGTTGACATTTTTGCTCTCTGTGAGGTTAGAGGTCACATGGTCCTCCACTGAGGGGTCCAGAGGTGCCCGAGAGACGGGCCAAATTCAACCCAGATAAATCGAAGTGATCACATCTGTGCATGGTTAGGTTTTTCATGCCGTTTAAACATCAGTCAGGTGTTTATCATAAAGGAAAGGATCACGTGTAAACCAGAGGGTCTTTTCTTTATTTTCCTGGACACACTGAAATGAAAGCACAAAGCCCAGACACCGACGATGGATTAGAGTTAATCCAGTTTCCTTTATGTTACTGGGACCTCATCAAGCACCAGTTGGTCTCAACCAGCACGGTGCTTCTTAAAGCGTGGCTTTCAGACGGGTGGGAACGTAAACAGGAGTAAATGAGGCGAAACTCTACGTGATTGATGAGCTGCATTAGCTTTTACCCCAGATGACCCTCCAGCCCCAAGTGTCTCTGAAACCTGAGCCTCACCTGCTTCTTGCTGTGGCCACAAGCGCACCAGGCGTAGTGTTTTCCAGCAGACAGCTTCACCCTGTAGGGAAGCCGGGCGGCAGGAACTGCCTGGGTCGACTCCAGACAGCACTGAACCTGGGGCACAAAGTGAGACACAAACTTAACTTATCGTCCACACTAATGGATACCACAACATCCTGCAGTGACACATCCCGTGTGGTCTAGGCCAAAACACAACTCCAGGCTCTCAGAGGGCTGTTTGAATAACAATCAGAGTGATGGAGTGCTGCCTCACATGACCCGAGGCATTCGCAATCACACAAACTCCTTCAGGTTTACTTTGAGAACACAAATTAAAAACGTATGTTAAACTTGTTTTGCTTACATCACAACATTACACTGTAATCGCTGTGATGTCACTGTTTTGGTTCCACTGGATAAAAAACTCAAACAAATGAATAATAATGTAAAAACTTTGAATAAGTGGGTCTACATTTTTACACTCAAGCTTAACCCCACCCCCACCCCACAAAGAAAAAGAGGAAGTGGGACTGGGAAGTCAGATTAGTGCTTTCTGATTATAGTTTAAGTTTTTTAACCTCTGGAGCTGAAAAATGAAGCCAACCCAGACTGTCACAAACTGCAGTTCCTCTGAAGTCCTCTAAAAGATGGACAGTCACCATGGCATCGCCTGTTTTGAAGTCTCAAGCGGAGCGGTTGCTTTCAGACGGTAAAGGTGACCAGAAATGACTAAATGTGATGTCATCAGCATGACCTGAAACTAACCTCTGAGCCCATAAACTCAATATGAGAGAGCTTATTAAGGTCATAGAGCAAAGAGTCGCTCTCAGATAACCAGGGTCTCCCCCTGGCTTTTTGGAAAGCTGAGTTCATCTTTAGTGTCACACGCAGGCCTGATTACAGCCAGACCAGCTGAATCCAGAAATCACTTAAACAGAACCAGAAGTGAAGCAGGAGAAAAGCTCTCATAGAGCAATACATCATGCCACGATCTACAGAAACAGAAGAAACAAAGCCATTGACATGTATCAGTGTGGAAAGGGTTACAAAGCCATTTCTGACAGAGTCCAGTGAATCACAGACTCATCCAGGAGGTCACAGGAGAAACCAGAACAACATCTGTGGAACCGACTTGCCTCAGTGAAGTTTGGTATTCAACAACAAGAAAGAGACTGGGTGAAAAGGAGGGCTCCACGGAGAAAACCACTGCTGACCGAAAAAAAAACATCTCGACCACCCACAAGAGTCTTGGGAAAATAATTGTGCGGACTGACGAGATAAAAGCAGAACTTTTTGGAAGGTTTGGGTCCTGTGACATCTGGGATAAATAGCATTTCATTAGAAATGGTAAATGGCCTGTATTTGTATAGCGCTTTACTAGTCCCTAAGGACTAGTCCTAAGGACCCCAAAGCGCTTTACAGAACCAGTCATCCACACATTCACACACTGGTGATGGCAGCTACATTGTAGCCACAGCCACCCTGGGACGCACTGACAGAAACCTGACGGACACTGGTGCCACCACCAGTAGGCAACAGGTGAAGTGTCTTGCCCAAGGACACAACGACCGAGACTGTCCAAGCCGGGGCTCGAACCGGCAACCTTCCGATTACAAGGCGAACTCGAGCCACAATTGCCCCATTAGAAGAACATCAAACCAACAGTCAAACACGGTGGTGGAAGTGTGATGGTCTGGGGATGCTCTGCTGTTCCAGGACTACTCGCTGTGACTGCTGGAAGCATGAATTCTGCTTTCTACCAGGAAATCCTGAAGGAGAATGAATGAAGCAGGACAACCATCCAAAAACCACACCAGCAGGTCCACCTCTGGGTGGTCTAGTCAAAGTCTGGCCATATATCTGATTAAGGTTATCCTAAATCATCTCATGCTGGAAACCCCCAAAAGTGTCTGAATTAAATCAATTCAGCAAAGATTGGTGGGCCAATTTAGGGGGCGGTTACTCCTTTACACAGGGCAGGTGAGTTTGGAAGAAATCCTCATTTAATAAGTGCATTTTGTTTTTACTCTCGTTATCTTTGACTAATATTAAAATGTGTTTGATCTGAAACTTTAAGTGTGACAAAAATGCGAAACACTAAGACGTCGAGAAGGGAACGACTGCTCCGCATCCATCCTGATGTTTTATAACTCCAGTGCGTGCACGTGAGGGGGACCAAGCCCTCACGTGCTGTACCTGCAGGTTGACTCTCACAGAGCATCGGGGCTAAAGGTGACTGAAGGAGGGCGCGTCAGGTTGTTTGTTTGCACAGAAAAAAAGAGAAAGAAATCGGGAAATGTCGGCAGTCTGCTCCGTGGATGTCCCACCGTGACTCAGCATTCTTTAAATACGGCCGCAGCAGCAACGAGAGCAACACGAACAGCTGATAACACAATAATTAACACGAACACTCGGCAGGCAGACTCACTGTGGGAGAATAAGCAGCCAGGAGGAGCTGAGGTCGTCGGAAGGTCTGCGCACCTCCTCTGCGCATGGCGACTACAAACCGGGCTGTGTTCATGCTGCTGCGGGCCGCTTGTACTCCAGCTCCTGATGCTCCTTTAGAGGAAATCCGCGCACAGCTGGTCCACAAAACTTGAACCGACTTCAGTAAAAGTTACAATATGGCTGACAATGCAAGCTGATTGGGCTGTAAAAGCCTCCCCGCGATGAGGACACGCCCCCTGTCTCACCGCTCCTCCTCCTCAACTTCCTCCCACGCGCTGCATCCATCGTTATATCGCTCATAGCTGCAATAAATAATAATGTACACACCAGTCGTTAATGAATGACTGACTGCTTCATTACTCAGATATCAACCCTGAATGCGTGGAAGTCCACTAGCGCATTTTTTTAAAAGAACACACATGAATGACTTAAACTAGTGAAGAAATCACATATGTGAAGATGACATCAAAAGCTTTTTATTTCCAAGTGAAAACGAGATTCCACATTAATGAGAGTAAATTTGTTTTTTGGTCTTTTAAAATATATACATTTCAGGGATTTTTTCTGCACTTAAATAATTTTCATTAAAAACGTGTTTTTAATGTGGGGACATCAATCATATAACCATAATTTATATTTTCGTTTATCTATGGGCAGAAAAAATAGAAATAGTAAGCACGTAAGTAGTAAGCTAACACAGACTTGGATCGGTCATGTTTAGTGACCCCCCACATCCTGATGGGCAAAGAAAGTCAGTATTAGTAAATATTTTATTAACGTTCACAAACCATTATGTTACATGACTCTTATGAAGTCTAAAGCTTGCCTTATTAAACAGATATAAAAAAGGTTATTCAGTATGTCAAAATGACATAATAACTTTATATAATTGTTTTCACGGTCTGATAATAGCATCATGATGATGCAGTGCTTATGTTGGTGTGTATGTGCATGTTCTCCCTATAAATATGATACGTATTATGAGATTAATAAAGGATGAATCCTCACATAGACCCAATGAAAGGGGAAACATTTTCAGACTAAGAGTAATAAATAAATAAATAAATAAGTAAAATAAAAAAGTTTTAAAAGCCACGCAGAGGTCACCAGACTTACTTTCCAAACGTTGCGTGAGGTGAAAAAAAATTCAATATTTTTGAACAACGTAAACGTCATTAAATTGGAGCCTAAAATCACGTGGTGCTGATGAAACCACGCAAGGTTCGATTTCCGATCCCTTTTTATTTCTTGTTTGCTTTTCTGGTAAAACTTTACAGACTCGGTGTCCTTTCACAACGCCGACGATGAACAAACCTTCCCGTGAGGTCCGGTAGAGTCTCAGTGATGCTGGACATCACGACTGGTTCAGAAAGCAACAGCTTGGAGTCTTACTGGTTCAACAGATGACACCACATAAACGTGGGCCCTCATTTTACCACTGGTATTAATCAAATGGCCAACTGGGTGTAACCCCAAACTTCATACCAGGACTGCTGACCCCTTAAGAGTCAAACCCACATCCTTAGATCCTCATGCAGGGCCCTTCTGACTGCAAGCTTAGTCTAATTTTGCCATCAGGACTCATCGAACTGAGGACATGAGGCTCGCAGAAACCCTAAAATCCTTTAAAGCACGTCTTGAAAGTCATTTTAATTGTCTTCCCATTTTAACATGAATAAATCAGTTCATTTCTAATAAACCTCCAAAAAAGGTGAACTTTTCATAAACTTTACAGCACGTTAGAAAGCATTTTTCTTTACTTTCTGTATTTCTCATAGTGGTGTAAAGTCAATGTGTTCACTTTACCTGAAGTCGATTCCTTTACGGTGAGTAAAATACACCCACAGTTAAATCACTCGACATCCAAGAGAAAATGTCAAAGAACTCAGTAAAATACATTTATTGACAAAAAAAAGTTGTCTTAATCTGTCCTTTTAATTTTACACACAAAAATATCAAAATACTTTACAGGGATTTTAATCTGAATATCGTCAAATTTGCTTCAATCGATTCTCTCAAACAAATACACTGTACAATGACAACGTGCTTGTCCTTTTTAAATTCAGTGCTCATTTCATTTCCTTTTTTTTTCTCTTCAGGGAACAATGCATTTAAAATTATGCATAGCTATTACTTGGTATTTAGCGATACATTTGAGAGACATCACTGCATTTCATGCAATTCATATCCCGATAGTTAACTTTGCCGTCCATCAGACGTCACTCGGAGCCAGGTGCTTAAATGTTGCAATACATAAAAGATACACAGTACGACATTCATAACATGAATTATCTTTACCCAAACTTCAAAGCTTAAAAGAATGAATGTGTTTTTACACAAACATATTAAAGTATACAACTCGGATCTCAAAAAAACAAACAAACAAACAAAAAAAACATTTTACAATTGGGCCAAAGCGCCCCAGTGCAACATGAGAAAGAAACTGTTTCAGAAATCCCTCGCGCCGCTCTGCAGGCGATCGTGTGGTCGCGCTGGTCATACTTGGTAAATTGCAGACCTCCCAGCAGGAGTCACGTTGGCTCATGTCTTTGTCAACATTCTCCTTCTGTCATTGCTACAGTATTTATCACCAACCATTGAGCTGCGTGAAGCTTCTGATGTCTACATGAGCTGCTAACAACATAATAAAATAAAATAAAAATAGATATCACATGTATGGGAGTTCATGTTCAAGACTCCAAACAGAGTGACAAATGAAGGAAGGAGGAAATTAAATAATCCCTTCATTTGAGGGCGAAAAAGGTGAAATGGTGACGAGCCTTTGTTAGTAAAACTGAGCTAAGCGGAGGTGTTGCTTCATAAAGTGGAAGGAAAAGCTTATTAGGGGAGACCAGGGACACCTGTAACACCCAACGCTAATGTATCCAATCAGAAAGCTAGGGCGTCGACACGCCGGCAGGATTAACGAGCTCGTGTCCAAATTGTTGCCTTTTGTCTATTTTAATGCTGCGCAGAAAGAGGAAACGCAGATCGTTCAGTCATGCTACATTAGAGCATCATTTTGACACAGAAGGAAGGAAAGCTAGAAGATGAAGTTTTAAAAGTCTTCTCAAAAAACACATCAAACGTCTAGTTTCTGCTCGTCTACACCACAGACGATAAACTGGTGCAGTTTTAATTGAAACTGCAACATATGTCATGTTTTTGATGCAACTATTTTGTGAGTTGTGAAAGAAAATGTAAAAAACCCAAAATGCCACAGCTGCCCCCGGTCGCCCTGCAGCCTCCCTGTTTCCTACATCGATTCTGTTTCTGCAGCACTTTCATTACGAGCGGTTCAAACTGCTGTGCAGATTCTCTACAAGTCCTTTTTCTCAGGTCTCTGAAGCACAAACAACTCAAAAACATTCCAACACAAAACGCACAATAGAAAATGCTTTGACACTTTAGTCACCACTATACGCTTCACACGTTTTTCCACTGTTGAAATTATCAGTCAGCTATCAAAAGTATATAAATGGGCTTAGGAAGAGTGCTTTCGTCGGACAACGTGACCCTCCGTGTACCCGCAATAAAAAAAACACGTTATCAAAGAAAGACGAGAAGAGAGTGAGCCTTTGGGCTCGTGGTTTCCTCTGTAAATCTAACATCATTAAGGCATTATCTATCCAGTATTGCTAAAAGAACAGCTAGTTGGTGGACACGAAAGGAATATCTATGTATGACAGTAAAAGACTGACACTTCAGGACAGGAGTGCAAAATACTCAGAAAAATCAAAAACCTGTTAGTCCCTAGCGACCTATGAAGTACCGAGCATCCTTTAGAAGGTACTGTGTTGATGGCTAATTTGCTCTGTTAGCTACTAACATGCAAAGTGCACACTTGTTTAGGAAAAAACTATTAATTTCTTACTTACAATTTCCAAATGTTTGGTTTCGTCCGCTTAATCTCGACAGCAACTAGAAGGATATAAAAGTCTTGAGAAACTCTGGTGGTGGTCTGGAACAAAACCCGGGGCTCGCCCGCAGACGATGGCGGCTTTCTGGACACGCAGGTGCTGTGTCATTTTTACATTTACATGAGTTAATACCTTAGAGCAAACACCAAGATATCTTTTTGGTGGGCATTTTATATCCAGTGAAGGCTATTGTGGTAATGAGTCTGCACAAAAGTCAACAATGAAAAATACAAAGTCTGAGGTAATAACTAGCTTAATGTCGAAATGCCACTAACCACACATCAAAAATGATTGTATGTTGATCCTTTACATAATAAGTGCCCGTGAGAGGCTTCACATATAGAAGATCTGGATGAAATTGAGTGGGGTGAACACAAAGGGAAGACACAATATCGAGGAAGACAGTTGAGGTTGCAGGAAGTGGCAGAAGTCCGCTTTTTTTTTTTTTTCTTGCTTTTTTTCCTCGCTGACGCACTGAATGGAAACTCTGGAGGGAATTCATGAACAGTCAGTGCTTGGGAGGTCAGAGAAGAGAGACTCAGACCTTCGGTTCATGAACTCTGCCTTCATCAGCAGCCCCATTGGTCTAGCTAACAAATTAGTGCAATTTAAGAAGAGACCACTGTATTCATGCTCTCTGAAAGCTGCCTACACACAAAAAAACCCTATGAGAAGAACCTCTGATATCAAGAATTTCAAAACACGAAAAACTTCACCTTGACATTAAAGTCCATCCTGTTGTACATTCATAAAAGAGGGCTTAAGATAAAGACGACAGAGAAGGAGAAAGTCCTGGAAATTTGACCTCTTCAAGGCGGCACGTCATGCCTGATGTTTTCATCGGAGCTGCTCGCGTGTTGTGGAGAAACATCAGCCATTCTTGTCTCCACCTTTCTCTCCAGTAGCCTGAAAACACAGAGAGCAGAGGGTTTCCAGCACATCTTCACCTTCATCTGAAGTATAACAGGATGTCCAGATATGGGCGAAATAAATGTGGACTTGAGGCCACTACACCCCGAGCGCGTAGCTACATGAAATTCAGAGTTTTTCAGATGCGAGCTTGTTGCGGAAGCGCCTTCGCACACTGACAAAAGTCTGTATGAGGTTTCGTGGTTTGATCCAGGAGCTGAATCTGTATCACGGCCGCTTTCATATGCATTTCATGATGTCAGCGGGTCAGTTCGAGCTCTCGTTGGCAGAGTTGGGATCACGTCTGAGGAGGCAGAGAAATGATTTCAGAGAGCCGACTGACCGGAGCAGCATGGAGCTGTGTGTGAAACTGTACTATTTAACCACACGTAGTAAAGTATATACAGCACCAGTGCACGTTTTGAGCTGCACTGCTAAATGGAGTGCTTTGATTGGTCAGATCTTTTTATTCACATATGAAAAATCGAGCTTTGATATAAATGCAGAAAATTTGTGAGTGTGAATGTAGGGTAGGAATAGGACAAATATTTGTAAAGACATAAAATATTCGCATGGATTTTAAGCGGATTTTAAGGACTTGTGGGACGTGTTACCGAGGTGGGTGGAACATTTTAGATTTCAGCTTCTCTTCATTAGCTCCAGAGCTGGATCTAAACGGCTCCATCTTATCTTAAAGACCTCGTGGTATCGTATCACCCCAACAGAGCACTTTGCCCTCAGACTGCAGCTTACGTGTAGCTCTTTCTAAAAGGAGGATCTGAGGTAGAGCCTTCAGCTTTCAGGCACTCTTCTGAGGAACCAGCTACCAGTTTCCTATGAAGCTTGAAAAGGAAAGCGACTGGACTTCTTCAAGTTCTGCTCCGTAAATTACCCGGATGACTGAGAACCTACACAGACACAGCTCCCAGTTTGGATTTAGGAGACAGGCACCCTGTCTACTTTTAAGACCAGGCTTGAACCTTTTTGATAAAGCAGATCGTTAGAGCTGCATCAGGTGACCCTGAACCTTCCCTTAGATATGCTACAATACGCTAAGGCTGCTGGAGGACTTTCCCACGATGCACTGAGTGTTTCTCCTCTTCTGCCCATGTGTTTATATGGCACTACTTCATGTCATTAACTTTTATCTACTCTCTTGTCAATGATTGATAAAAACTCTTGGAAGTGAGCTGCTGAGTTTCTTGGTTCCTGGAGTTTTTCAGGAGGACAATCACGAGTATTACTCACTCTGGGTTTGTGAAGCGTGTTCTCCTGCAGCCCGAAGAGCCCGCCTCCTTGGCCTCCCTGCAGGGGGGAGGCTGTAGCTGAGGACAGCAGGTTGGGTGACTGGGCAATCATGGGTGAGTTGGGGGTGGAGGTGAGAGCTCCTGTCAGCGTGAGGCGCTGCAGCTCCCGCTGACGCTGCTGCTGCAACATCTGGCACACCAAGGCCTGCTGCTCCTGGAGGAGGATGAGAGGAGAGCGGCTTTAAGGGACGAGCAGAGAAAAGGCGCTGATGGGGGTTTGTGTGGGGGCTGACAGTGCTGGGAGTCTGTAAACGCCGAGCAGAAGCGGCAGACCGTCACCAGGGGGCAGTGTTGGACATAATGCTACTCTTGTTCACCTGTGTGTATTTGCCGGTCATGTAGCTCCTGCTGGGAATGACAGCGTGGACAAAGAGCGTCTCTATGTTCAAACTGACTGTTAAAAACAATGAAAACTGTCCCTGGAGCCACTGCGTGTCTGTGATCTTTGATGGGGTTTTGCATCTTCTCCTCAATGACCTCCGCTGTTACTCCCTTTCCTGTTTGAGCCATCTGGCCTTCATCACCCTTGAGTTACATGCTTTTAGGCCTTGTAGAGGAGAGCCTCACAAGTGTTTTTCCTTTGAACTGCATTCAAGGATTTCCAGGAAATGCCAGTTTCTGTTTAAGTTTGGGGATATTTGTATAAAACAATCGTACTTTGAACAATCACGCTGCCATAACTGAGCAGCACTCCTCTGTCAGGTTTCCCGGCACCCTCATCTGCTCTGGGTTCTTTAAAGCAGCTTCCATCAAAAATAGCAGAACAGAGCACCCCGACACTTAGAAGAAGTGAAATGCTGAGGCATGTCTGGAAGAGTCCAGCTCAGGTGTCTGGGTAAGGATGCACCTGCGCTTGTCGAATTCAGGGTCAAGTAGTCTAAGCTAACTTAAGAGCAGTGGAGAGCACCCGGGGACAGGAGTGGCAGCGAGTGATTTTTACAGGGTTCCTGCCAGAAGGACAAACAGCTACAGAGGCGAGTGCACTGCCTCGCTCTGCTGTTACTGGATTGGCGTTAGTAACAGACTGATAACTGATAACACACCTTATCTCAGGGAAACCTGGAGCAGTTCACATTGACCGTACTTCTTGTGTGTGAGTGGGAACTCTCACAAGTACGTTTATTTTCAAGCTGCACGTGTTTTATTTTATTTTTTAAAAATTGGACGTAAAAACTGTAAACAAATGTTCAGTCTGTTTCACTGTCGCCTCGTCTAACAGAAAAGTGAAAGTATCCAGTTCCCCGCTGTCTTTAGTCTACTATATCAAAGTACTTATAGTTTACAGTCAAACAGGAAACCCACTGGTTCCTATATTTACAGTGCCTGACTGGTTTGCACCCCACCAAGCTTTCCTCACTTTGCATGTCAAATAAGGGCGGCTGGTTGACTTCGACACAAAACATTATTGTTGGTACAATCTCTTTCTTAACTAACATAATTGAATCGGTTAGTATCTCTATATGAGGTCTTGCTAATGGTTAATATCACAGTATTAATCTCCCAACTTCAAAGTGTGTTACAGCAAGTTCCTGAGTTACAGACAGTAATAAATTCTTTGTAAAAAGTTAGTTTTTACTGAACAGGAGGCGAGTCTAATTTCTGAATGAGTCTAAAAATAACGCGTGAGATTGCCCCTGCTGTTAGCGCTTATTCAAATAGCCCTGATTTGCTCGGTGTTCCCGTCACGACCAAACATCAGAGAGCTGCTCCGTTTCTGAGGCGTGAGCGAGAAAATATTCTGTTCCATAAACATCCTTTTCTTATCCTAAATCAATTTAGGCCCAGATTTTATCGCTGTGGTGGTTCAGTGAGCTAATGAAAGTGTTTATTAATGAGTCGAACCCAGCAGCAAACACCGGAAAAACTGCAGTTCCTCTAATGGCCACTTGATTTCAGCTTACACTCCCAAGTAAGTATGACCGACTTTACAGCATGCAAGTTTTTATTTAAGCATAAAGTTTGCATCTTTAGGGGAATGGCTGCTTTGACTGACAAATTGATGCAATTGGATGAAGCTGCAATAATCAGGCAAATAACATATCTTACTATGTGCTTATACGTACAAACAGACCATCCAAGAAATCTGTGGTTCAGTTTTCACCAGACGAATTCTAGCTTTACTTTGACATTTCTTTATACGTGCCATTTAATTATCAGGTACACGGGTCTGTGCCACGCGCCTCGCTAAACAAGCGTTAGCTGATATGCTTGTTTATCTGTTTCATGACATCATCACACCACGAGTCAGAAACATGTGGCTAGAGAAAAATGTCAGAGAAGCTGTGAGAAAATGTAAAACTCAGAGAGAACGACAGAGCGACGAGGCGAGTGTCCTTACAGGTGTGAAGTTCTGCGAGGTGAGGAACTGCTGCAGCTGCTGCTGCTCGAGAAGAAGCTGCTTCTGCTGCTCTGACAGGAACGGCGACCTGAAACAGATGTTGACATGTGGAAGCACACCTGTCAGAGAGCGCCACCGAGTTTAAATGTTTCTCACAGATTTAGAGGGTCAGTGGGCAGGCACACATGTTCTTGCTAATTTATTAATAAACAGTGTTTATAATCTCCGACGGAGCAAAGACGTGATCATAAATAACTGACGAAACAAATATAGTGGGTCTTTCTTCCTGCCAATCAACTTCAGCTGGCGGTGGTTCTGCTGCAGCCTCGTCACGCTCGCTGTGGCGGCACATGAACCTGCTCCTCTCCACCTGCTGCAAACCTCGGGGTGGAGTGGTCGTCCATCTCACCACAGCTCCTCAGAGCAGGAGAAGAACCACCGACAGCTGCAGTCCATGACAGTCCGCTACGTCCTACTATGGGGAAGACAGGAACGTGGCCAGCTGGTGGCAGAAACACTAAAATTTAAAAATAGGAGTGAGGGGATTCTGCGCTTCAAAAGGATAGAAAAAGAAAAGAAAAAGAAATCACTGAATCCTAAAAAAATCTGAAACAACCAAAGTTAGTTAATTCATTTAGAGGCTCTTGTTTTCTTCTTCTGTGGTTTTTACAGACAGATTTTTTACGTACGGACTCGCACTCTTGGGAAGCTGAAAGCCTTGAGCCAGCGCCAGGGGGTTGAGGGGTGGAGGTTGGGGTCGCAGGGCCGGGAGCGCGGGCTGAGGAGCGTTCTGCACAGGCGACTGGATCACTCCGTTCAGACTGCCGAGCACGCCGTTCACGGCCAGCTGAGGACTTCCCACGATAGACGCCATGAGTCCGCCCACCACGGGCAGTGCGGAGCCGCCGGCCTGAGCGATCGCCCCCAAACCGTCGTTCAACCCTCGATTCAAGCCGTTCAGCAGCGGCTGCCCGAAGGAGGCGGGGCTCTGCTGAGGAGGGGGGGTGCTCTGGAAGGAAAGAGACGAGCTGCTTCGGGACGGACTACCGGAGTGCAGCTCCTGGAACAAACACAAGAGAGCAAGCGAGCAGCTTTTTACTGAGTTTACCGTAAAATTGAGAAAATCTACAAAGAGGCTTAAAAAAGACAAATATACTTGCTAATGGTGCCTGACGGGATTGCACGGTGATTTTGAGACACGAAAGGAACTAAAGTTTCTCACCTCAGACGAGGTAACAAAGGAGGTGTCATTCAGGAAGCAGCTTTTGGGCAGGGGACTCTTATTGGTGCTCAGGGGGTCTAAGGAATGAGAGCCACAATCACAGGGTGAAAACTACCAGGTTTGCACTGAACACCATTTTCTGTACTATCAAAACTGTTCCTACGGTTAATTAACATCAATAAATCATCCGTGTGAGCGGGTGGGGCTGCAAAGGGAGGATGAAGGAATGCAGCTTAAAAAAAATAAAAGAAGGCGATGGGATTTATGTGCCCTGAAGTTCGCTTATGAAAGTGGACAGAGGAGCTTAATCTGACCTTGGGTGGATGACAGGAAGTTGATCTGGGCGGACGTGTGCATGGAGCCCTGGGTGGAGTGAAGCTGTGGAGGGAAAGGCACGGCCAGCTCCGTGTTGAGCAGCTGCAGTCGCTCCTTCTTGGCCGTCAGGCTGAGGATCTGGTCCTGGAGCCGCTGGTTCTCCTGCTGCAGGGAGTGCAGCGACTGGAGCATCTCCATAACTGAGGGGACAAGAGGACACGCCACACTTCAGTCCAGTGTTTCCTACCATCTTCAAAGAGGCACACACTATTTTAAATTAATTATTAAATAATGGAGCTGGTGATGCTAGTCTGCATTCTGCGCTGCAGCCTCTGTGAGCTCAGTGTAGAATTTGGTTACAGCGGTCTTCCTGCTCAAAGATCTGCACAGTAAAAGAGGGACGACTGCCCTCAACAGGCACATTTTAAACTGAGAATTTCTGGAGAGGCAGCTGAAACATATCAGACCCTCCCTGGCCTCTGTGATCACCTCCACTGATTCTCTCACTCTGTGGAAGATTTCTCTCTCTGCCATCTGGGGCTCCAGCAGGTGTTCGCGCTCTTTTTTCTATTCAGCTATAATGCACCACGTGGGAAACGGCACCACAATACCACAACACCCCAGCAGCGCATTTCACTATCAGAGTTCAGTATCGCCTCAATATAGCATCAATATATGACTCACAAATGTCGTCAGATTCCCGGAGAGATGGTTGAAATTATCGGTCCGGATGTGAAAAAAAATTGAGCAGGGACCAAGGACGCAAAAAAAGTCCCAGCATTTTATTTTATTTTTTTATTTACAACATGGTAACTCAGGCATAATGCAGCACACACTTACGTAGGTCACATTGTGGGCGCTACAAAGGTTCCCCGCGCGAGTCTAAATCAGGCATCGCTCGTTTTCAACAGTCCAGCCTGAGGCTGAGCCTTCAGCTTCCAGGCCCCTCTCCTGAGGAACCAGCTCCCAGTTTGGGCTCTGGAGAGACAGACTCCCTCTCAACTTCAAACTTTTAGTTTTGATAGTTAGAGCTGCATCCAGTGAACCTGAACCATCCCTCAGTCGTGCTATTTTAGGCTCAGACTGCTGGAAGACATCCCATGATGCACTGGGACTCCCACTTCTCTCTTTCGCTCGCTATTGCATGTCAGTGGGTTTTGTGTTCTCTCGCTTCCTGACCCCATTTTGTAAGTATTTCTGGGTTAGGAACTCCAGCTGTCATCATTACTGTAAGCATTGTTATGATTACTGCCTGAGAAGTTTTAGGATTGGCTCGGGTTGGTTGTTTTATCATTTTTAGCGGGTGATGGGTGGATCGGCACAAAAGGGATCCAGGAATATCAGTTAAAATTGGACCTTTCACATCACAAACACAGATGAACACTGGAGGAGTTCTGCTCTCGGTATTATTATCATAATTATTGTATTTACTGTAACAACCAGCTGGTGGTGCTCAAACAAAAAGTAAGTACTAGCATTGGATGTTTCCTGCCTCTCTGCTCTCCTCTCGCCCCAGCCGGTCGGGGCAGATGGCCGCCCACCCAGAGACCGTTTCTGTCAGCAAGCGCTTGATCAGATTAAACTCGCTTTGCTGGAAGAGCTGCTCAATACAATCAAGGGCACAGAGCAGTCGATGGGCGTACAGTTTTCATGTATTGCGAACAGTTAAACTTGCACATCGACCCAAAGCAAACCTTCTGTTTTTGTGTAGTTAAACATCAACACGCCGATTTACTGGACGTACTGGGATAAACTAGTCACGGCTAAACGATCGGAGATATGTTTGACAAGAGTGGACCCAGCAACCTGCACTGTGCTTTTTTTTAAAGTCATGCACTGTCTCACAGGTGTTTCCAATTATTCTGGCAGTTCGGGCCCCCGCTTGGGTTGAAGTCGGGCAGAGTTATGCTGGAAAATATTAGAGGTCACAAAACAAAGGCTGGGTCCTGAAACATGCCACATTTTGAGCCTTGTGCACTCAAGTTAAGTCACTTATTTTTATACAACACTTTGCTGTTTAAGTAGAAATGAGTGTGTTTATTTTGAGAGTATGTCACAAGTTACTAGTTAGGCTCAAAAAAAAAGAAACGCACACAGAAAAATCTGCAAAATAAATGTTACGCTTTCTCATGCAGATAAATATAATTAAGGTGAGGACTGTGGGGGTATTTCCTTTTAGAGAAATACACCTAGCTGAGCGCGATGAGACCAAAAAGAGAAGAGCAGCAACCATGGAAATAAAAAGCCGTGTGCATGCAAGCGTGAGCCAAAAGCACTGACAGTGCTGGGTGTAGGAAGAAAAAAATGAGCAAATAATAGATTTGAAAGCAAGTGTCAGCTGATGATGTCCCTGGAGAAAAAGTGAGTCAGAGCAAAAGGCGGTGAGCAATCTGGTTCAGCGGAGAGACGAGCAGAAATACAACGGCAGAAACAAAGCAGCTGCTGGAGCAGCTTTCAGAACCGAGAGCACATCTGATCTCTTGCTGAGCTTTTTTTTGTCCTCACACAGGTACATTCATCATCTGACGACAGCACGAGGCACACACAGAGGCCGGCAGCGTCTACGTGTAAGGTTCCCAACATTTCTGGCTTAAAATGAAGTGAAAGGGTCAAGCAAAGAGTCCTTTCTCTTTCTCAGATCTGTTTTTGAAGGATTCTGAGAGGCTCAAAGATCTTAGCACTGAGCAAAGTAGTACTAAAACAACCCTGCAGTTCCTCTGATGGCCACTTGAGGCTCCTGTGTTAAAATGCCCAGTTTACATCTCACTGCAGGAAATGGTCTGTAGACATGGTCCATAACAGCTTCATGCTGGAAGAAACATTTTCTTAAGTCACCTGGTTTGATTTTTTTTAATTGATAAAGTTGGTGGCGTGGCTACTCTGACTGGCCAACAACCGATTCTTACAAATAATACGACTGGCCGTGCAGCTAACTGTACAGCACGCCACACGCCATGTTAACAGACCACTCAAAGAAGCACACGCCTCACGAGTCTGTGCTCCAGCCTGCTGAGTAAAGTTCGAATATTTTACGCACTCCTGCAGTTTATGAGGCAACTTGTACATATCACTCTGTTTATGTCCGTCCTTTATGCACAGAATACACTCGCTGGCCACTTCATTAGGTACACCAGTTCAGCAACTCGATGCATTAAGGTCAAAGCGAGCAGCTGAGGTTCAACCTGAGCATCAGCATGGGGAAGAAATGGGATTAAGGTGACTTTGTTGATACCAGGCAGGCTGGCCTGAGTATTTCAGACTGCTGATCTTCCCTCATAAGCATCTCCAGGGTTCACAAAGACTGATAAAGAAAAGGAAAATATCTGTCCAGCAGCTCCCTGGGAGAAAATGCTTTGTTTACACCAGAGGTCAAAGGAGAACGACCAGACTGCTTTGAGTTGACAGGAAGGCAACAGTAACTCAAATAACTCCTGGTTACAACCAAAGCATGCAGAAGAGCACCTCGGTTGCTCTTCTGCACCTCAGAAAATTAGAAAAACGATTCCTGCTCTGATGAGTCTCGATATTTGCTGTGAATTCAGACGGTAGTCTCAGACTTTGGCGTGAACAACATGAAAATAGGGATCTATCCATGGATCAGTAACTGAGAACTGTTCTTGACCGTGTCCATCCTTTTATGAGCACAGCGATCCCGGTACCGGTCCGTGAGTTGTTTGGTACCGGGCCGCGAGAGTTGAGGCTCGGGTGTGAAATTTACGGTTTTCGGGGTTTTTATCGTTAACTCGGTTTCCCCGGGTCTTTTCCCGTGTTGTAGTTGTGCGTCTTATTTTGAAAGAAATATTTACGTGTTACCATAGCGACCAGAGAGCATTAAGGGGCAGAGAGGAGGATGTTACTCTCAGTGTTGTTGGCGCATTTCAGGAGGACGCTGCTCATAAAGTTACACAGTGAATTCGCGTTTATTATTATTTTTTTAGTATTTTTTATTTTGTTGTATTTCTCCGCGACACCTTAAAGGCCGGTCCGTGAAAATATTGTTGGACATTAAACCTTTGGGATGTGGTGGAAAGGCTGATTCTCATCATGGATGTGCAGCAACTGCATGAAGTTATCCTGTGAATATGGACCAAAATCTCTGTTTGCATGGCACCTCGTTGAATCTTTGCTACGAAACAAGTTCTGAAGGCAAAAAGGGGTCCGACCCAGTACCAGCACAGTAACTGCAGGTCCATCAAGTATATTTGCCATTTCATTCATCTTATAAACACTTTTCAATATCTAGTCCCACTGGCCTTACTTACTGTTGACTCCCATCTCTCCGTTGCTGTGTTTCTCCAGCAGCAGATCAATGTGAGAGCTGGCTGGAGGGACGTTCTCAGGACGGGCTCTGACTCCGGCGCCCAGCCCGTCCCTCTGGTCGAACAGAAGAGGAAGACAGCTCATCGGAGACCTGGGCGTGGAAGAGGATAAAGTCAACAGGAAGTCAGAAGCGACACGTCACAGCTTCTGCAGCCAAGCTGGGAAACTACCAATCATCCTCTGTGGCTGTGGTTTGTGTTTTTATCCACATAGACGCTTTGATTGTTAACCAGCTGGTATTTTCCTGTTGCTGGTAATAAAAATGACAAAGGGAAAAATCAACCAAGTGATGATTTGAACAAATGAATGATGCGTCACCAGTGGTTTGTGCATCTCTCTACTTGCTGACTCATTTCAGTCAGTAAATCTGAAGTGTAAGAATGATGTATTGTTTTCAGGATTTGACACTAAAAGATAATAATAAAGACAAAAAAGCAAAGACTCACTGCGAGGAAAGACTCTCTCTCGGTGAGTTCCCCTGACATGGGAAGCGACAATCATCGAGGTCCGACTCTGAGAAAAGGAACAGACATTAATTTCATGTGCGCTCACATTTACTGAAAGGCAGCGTCATCAAAGCGCCGTGTTTACTGCGCAACAACAGCACGTTTAATGTTGGATTTCTGAAAGAGGATTTGAGCCAGAGCAAGGTTTTTTTGTGAAGCTTATCTAAAGCCAACATTCGTTTCTCAAGAAGTGCTTCCTGTCACCTGGCAGTGAGGTCTGGGCTTGGCTCAGTAGTGGCGGCAGTGTCAGGGCTGTGGAGAGACAGCTGGTGAAAGGCTGAGTGGAGGTCAGGCTGTAGGAGGCGCTGGAACCTGGATTCACCTATAAGACAGCGAACGTCAACATCTGGCTGACAAAGAAAGCATGGAGATAATCACGAAAGGATTTTAGTTAAAAAAAAACAACTCAAAACGGATCTTTTTGTGAAGAAAACATCCATCTACTGGAAACGTAACACACATCTATCAAAAATAACTCGAGAATGAATTGTGCTTCCAGGTTCTTCATGACTTCCACATCTGTCCGCTCATCATTGTTTATGAACACACTCACTTTCCTTCAGCTTGTCCCAGCCGTCATAGGCTACAGGGTACCTGCACAGGTCAACCAGACACACTCACATTCACACATACGTGCACATTAGAACCCAACATGCACGTCTCTGGACGCGAGGTGAAAGTATCCGCACCGCTGTGCATGATTACGCTGCTGCACTCAGTTTTGGTACAACACTCCACTTCTTTTCTTATGAAGCAGACACACCCTGTTCCACCCTGAACTGTGTGTTTCAGTTCGAGCCAAGACAACTAAAAGAGAGACTTTGATGACAACTAAGGGAGTACAAGTGAAGACGTGTGGAAGGACTTTGGTGTCTGTCTGCAGCTGCTTTTGTCTCAGGATCATTCGGGGGCTCTTGCGGTCGGCTTTTGGTGGCTGGTGTCAGCTTTGACTCTGCAGCACCACCTCTCTTTACCCCAGTTGCACCCAGTGACTGTAATGAGTCATTGACCTGCACCCACAGCGATGCTGCAGTGGAGGCAGGCTGGCACCAGCTCTACAAGTAAAAACACCTGCTAGTCAGAGGCTAACTCCTCCGTTGCTGCTTACTGTAAATCGTGATTATGAATTTTCCTATAATCCTCAGGCCTGAAACTTCATGTGTCATTTAATTTTGTTGAAATGTTGTTTGCTGACACAGCACACGTCCTCTCTTTGTGACGTACCTGTGTGTTTGACACAGCGTTGACTGGTGGAAGAGACAGCGAGGAGTGGGATGGAAGGAGTCCTGAGGAGAGAGGGGTGCTACACATGCCCCCTCCCAGGGACAAGGAGGTGCTACACACCCCTCCACCCAGGGAAAGGGGGGTACTGCAGACACCCCCGCCCAGTGTGAGAGGGTCCTTGAGACTGGAGTAGATGCCTGAGAGACATAAAAGAAAGAAAGGAATAAGGTGTTTGTCGTTTTCATCTTAGAAGTCGTATGACTGCAGAAAGAGGAACACGTGAGCCAATCAAATGGAAAGTAGGGCAGGAAATGCACTACAGACACGTGCGGCGCACACAAAAACACCATGTAGGACAATATCACTGCCTCGCACAGATTACACAAACGTTCTGAAAGAGATTTAACAAATATTTTAAAAGTGGTGCCAAGAAACAGTCGACTTATTCCGTTCATTCTTAATTCCAGGAGTTTTTTTTCGCTGCGCTTCTGATACAGAGATAAGCTGCTGCGTGTAATGGAAACGCACCAAAGTGCAAAGAGATAGCGCTTCAGTTTTTTTCCTTCACCACACACAGGAAGCTAGAGGGCTACCGCACACGCCCACTCGCTCAGACTCACCAGAGCCGAGCAGCGAGTTGCCGCGGCCTGTAGAAAAACTACCAGTGGAGGACGAGGAGAAAGAAGAGGAAGTGGAAGAGGTGGCGGTGGGAGGCAGCGTTGAGGAGAAGGTGGGGTGGGGGATGGAGGACGGGCTCGGATAGAGCGACGAGGTTAAGGCTAGGGGAGGCGGCGCTGTGTGGTGATGGTGGTGGTGGTGCTCCTCCTCCCCCCTCCTCTCTCGGTTCTTGCTCCCCCGCGGGCGCCCCGGGCCGTGGCGGCTCTTCTTGTTGCCACGGTGCCTCCTCTCTCGAGGCAGCGGCGGTGGAAGCGTGGCTTTGTCCTCAGGGTCGGCCTCCTCCAGGATGGGCGGCGTGCTCAGCTGGGATGGCTTGCAGAGAGATTTGGAGGGTTTGTAGTCGCTCGACGAGGAGATCTTTCGGATCTTGCTGCTGCTGCCGAGCCCCGACGACGACGTGATGCGCATGATGGACCCGAAGGTGGAGATGGTGACTTTGTTCTCGAAAGGGCTGGAGTTGCCTTCTGGCCTGTCGTGACCTTGCGACCCTGCTAGCGGGCCCTCAGCGGGGGTCAGTGCTGGTGGCTTGTGGTATTTACAGTCCTCCTCCTCTTCCTCCTCCTCGTCTTTTTCCTCTTCCTTTACATCCTCCTCCTCCTCCTCCTCCTCCTCCGCCTGGACTGCCGGTCTCCTGTGACGCTCCTTGCGCTCCTCTCCGCTGTGGTCGTCACCTCCTCGGTCATGTTCACGCTCCAGGCGGGAAGAAGATAAGAACTGATGAAACTCCTGAGCAGACGACAGGGAACCACCTGAAGGAGAAAAACAAAGAGTTAAAGTCAGACACAAACGGCCACACGACCTCCCTCCGTCTCCAGGGTTCAACAGAACCCAGTAAGAGAGGAGAAGCTAACTGGTCATGCACAGGGCAATGACGGTGCTTCCACCAATCCCAGTTAGAAGTTTACCTGTGAAACAAACTGGCTTAAGTGAAAGCTTCACTAATGACAGTGTTTTTTCTTGCTTACATATTTTAAATTTAAAAAGTACGAGGCCACTGAAAGAAAACCAACTGGTGCAGGACTCTACAGAGCGAGCGTTTCTCTCATATTCGAGACAGAAATGGATCCGTGCTGAACGGAAATTGAATTTAGGGGCACGTGTGTGGATAAAAATCCCAGCGAGCTTCTGTTTTTCTCAACAACACAACAGCAGCCAAGATGATGCAATCACCCCTGTTACATCTTAAAGTGGAGCAGCAGCCTCTCCTCCCACAGAGGCAGCCAGCAGCAGTCCTGCATAACTCCACCTCATCCACAAGTTCCCCGCCGCTCTGTTCGTCCTACAGAACCACAGCACGGCTGGATGAAGATCAAACTAAAACTCGATTTGCTTTACGTTTGTTGGTCTGTATTTGCCGGGGACGATGTAGAGCAGGCAGGAAGACGACGTGGGGCACACTCAAACTTTTACTACAAATTATACTGTAATTATAAAATATCATTCGGCTAGTGTATACAAATAATTCAAACTGTGCTGTCGATGTACCGGGCTGCATGGGCATCGATCACATCTGAACTCGAGAAGAAATCGAGCGCTGACCCTTCATGTGGTACCTGTGTTGAATGGACTGGAGGAGCAGGACGATGAGGAGCAGCTCTTGCCGGTGCTTCCGGTCTTCTTGCTCCGATGACTGTGACCGTGCGAGCTCAGCTTCTTGGACTTCCCCTCGCCGTCCTTGCTGCTGTGGTGACTTGAGGAAATCTGTCCCAACACAGACGGGTCAAAACCATTAAAGCACTGACTGAGACATCGCGGCGTCTCTCAATCACTGTGTGGTGTCCTCGGATACCTTTTCTATGCCGCTGGATGTCACAGCGGAGCTCAGGTTGTCGCTCGACTTTTTGTGGCGCTCCTTTTGCCGAATCTTGTCTTTATGACTCTGAAAAAAGCAACAACACACACATACAAATACACAAGCTTGAGCCTAGAATCAAGGCTGCAGAGTCAACACTGGCACATTACACAAACGCAGCGAGTGGAATATATGCTACAGTCAACCAGCTTCAACAACAATGTCTGCAGGGATACGCTAACAGCACAGTCAAATCTGTTTGTGCATCACTGTAACTGCATTTGATGAAGATTATTCTGAATAAAAGCGTCTGGCTTTCTGTCACAGCAAAAACTACTGATTTATTTTTTTATATCAGAATATCCCAAACAGCCATTTTTATCATATCAGACTAAAATCAATGATTACAAGCGAGCCTGCGATCAGTATGACTCAGTGCCACTAGCTAAATGATAAGAAATACTGGTCTCTTCTATCTGCTACTGGCTTAAAAGCAGGGTGTTAGATTCAGTTTCACAGTGGGTTATGCTGAAAATGGCATCATGTAGCGCCAGACGTTGACTGAAAATATATGCTTCACACAGCCGTCTCACACACGCTACTGTGTCAGTCTAAAACCTACAACCGAAAAAGTGCAAACAAGTGTATTTAACATGTAATCCTGCAAAATTCTGTTCACAACAACAAGACAACCGCACAGCCAACTTTTAACAGCCTGAATCCGCCAGCTGCCGCCAGCATCTACGCGACACTAGATCACATATTTAACCGGTCCAAGGTTGCCATAAAACCGAGCTTTCTGCAACAAAACCTGCTTTTACAGCTCAGCTGAGATTTGACTGGAAGGAACACGCTTTTCTTCTTCATCTCTTTTTCAGTTCAACAACTGCGTGAAGCGTCCGCTCCCTGACTGTGGAGCCATATCTCTGCCGGAACATCAAAACGATAACAACGATGACATTCTTTGAAGACCGGAATTGTCTGGTGGCGAAAAAATATGCGGGTCTCTTTTTACACTTGACAAAGAGCTGCTCAGCTGGAACCGTGTGCCGTCAGCACTATCTTTCCTGTCTGCTGAATTCTCTGCTAGCTAGTCTGTTAGCTTGCAGGGGCTTTGAAGGTGCACCTGTCTGCTTAGTTTTGCATGCGTGTGATGGGGTCACGTGCACGTGAGCACCGCACCTTCACAGAGTTAACTCGGCCCATCTGAGAAGTGCACGTTAGGTTAATTGTTTATTCGAGTGCACAGAATAAAGCGCTGTATGAATGTGTGTGGAGGAGGTAAATGTGGCGTGCAGTGTGGAGAGCTTTAAGTGGTCAAAACGACGAGAGAAGTGTTACATGAATGCCGGCCTATTTGATTTCAAGTGTTTGAGGCTGAGAGGATGTAATGGCACACAGAGATCATGATGTTATTTCATGAGATGTATTTTATAATATGTCTTTTTATGTCTTTTATGTCTTTATGACCAGAGGCAGGGTACGCCTAAATGCGTTAGCTTTTGTTTAGCCAGGCTGTACCTCCAGGTATCTCTCTGAGCTCACAGTTTGTATTCAGATTAGAGTTTGACGTCAAGGGGTCGAGCTTATCACTGCCTGAAATGATGACACCCGGAAATCGGGAGTGATGACTGAACGTTCCCCAGGAGCCAACAGATGGAAGCTGTGAGGTTGAAAGCGTAGGACAGCTGGGTGTGTCTGGTGTATGTCTGCAGGACAGTGAGGCGTGCTTACACAGTGTAGCTCAGCTTGCTCACGCCCATGCAATAAAATCTAAATTAGCTCTCTGCTTATTTGATGATTTTATCAGGAAGAAAATGCATTAAAATTCATCCTTTTCTTCTTTGCCAATTCAGCTGTTATTCAATCGTTTCAAAATAAAAGAGTCTGTGTGCCAAGCTGGTCTGGATCAGACTGGCTGGTCTTATTAATCTGACGATGAATAGACAAAGTCTATTTTTAACTCTTACTTTTGGTTTTGTAGTGTACAGTTATATTAGCAAGCTGCAGACACAAACTGCGCAAATACATCCTGTTAATCCTGTTAATTAGTGCTACAAAATTATTAAATCCTAGCATTTCCCAGTTCCAAACAGTAAAACCTTATTATTTGTCTGATAATTCAATAAAATGCTCCAAAAAGATTTCTGTCTAATCACAATCACAACAACATGTCACCTAAAGTCACTTCATATTGTAAAAAGACCCTATAGTAATACAGGGAATACCACAGCAATAGATGACCCCCTATGAGCAAGCACTTGGCAATAGTGGGGAGGAAAAACGCCCTTTCAACAGGAAGGAACATCTGGGTGACGTAAGCTCGGGGAAGGGCAGCCATCGACCAAAAGATGCCAACAGAACAAAAATAGTCAGCAGGTGTCTAGTTAGCGGCTCTAGTTAGCTGAGGTGAGGCCCAGCCCACAGCCAGCGCCTACATCTGACTGAGTCCCTTTTTTAACAGCCTCAAGTGGACATTAGAGGAACTGCAGCTTTTGGTAGTTTTCAGCTCTGGAGACTGCCTTCTGATCTGACCACAGCTGTGCTTACCTTCCTCTGTCTGTGGTGGTGGTGCTGTTTTTCCTGTGACGGAGAGCTGGAGCGCCCCCTGGAATGACTGAAGGAGCTACTTGTATTTTCACTAGAACGCAACTTCTTCTGCTGTAAAGTCCAAAAGAAGGAACAGCAAACAAAAAGTTAACAGCTGCTAATTTCAAAGCAACAGTTTGACATTTAAAAGGTTCTCTACAAGCACTTCCAATGACTTAACAGGAGGTTTATCTCCTGAATTATTTATTTTGGTTGGGCGTATTCCAAGAATCATTTAGCTGCCTTGAGCTGAGTTAGAGGAAAAAAACAGCCGGGCACAGAAGCCCTTATCAATCATGTTAGCTGTTAACTGTGCAGTGCAGTAAGAAAGGCTTTTCTGGGGTACAATGTCATTGTGTTCTTTACCATTTTGTTGTAGTGATGCTTGCAGTAGCCACAATACTTCACGTTATCAGCTTCTGGTCCTTCCTCCTCACACAGCAGACCAGCCATCTGAGCACTACAGCGCAGGGTGTCGGAGGGTCGGAAAGGAGATGAAACACGAGAGCCAAGTTAGCACACGTGCACGGACTGAGACGGCAACACCTGGCCGAGTCACCTGAGAGCTTCAGTCACCGATCGTCGCCAGATTGATCGAATGTCACATTAAAATCTGAGCCTGTCAGTGTCTCGGGATTTACTTTTAAATAAATCATCTTTCTGTTGTAGCAGGAAACAAAATAAAGGCAAAAAGCAAGATGAGCAGCATGAAAGGTAAAAGACTGTAAATGAAGAAAAACCAACTGTAGCCCAGAATGTCTGTGTGAGTAAACTAAGGCTGTAGCCAAATACACATTACATATGAGCACGTATTCAATCTTGGCAATTGGAGACAGAATTTCATTTCTATTCTTGGCCTTATTTTCAAAAATGATATGACACAGGAAACAAGACAAGCGTTAACCTGCTTCGATTAGCACACAAAGTAATCACCACCCATTCATGATATCCAAGTTAGGGTGTGAGGCGGGGTCCCTGCGAACGGGTTGCTAACGCTGACAGACGACCATTCACACTCACGTCATTCCTATGGCCAATTTAGCGTCACCAGCTAATATGCATCTCTCTGGACTGTGGAAAGAAGCTTGAGTGCCCAAAAAGGCTAGGACCTCCTTGGTGTTTGCCAACCATGACAGTCCTGCCCACAATATTAATCATATGCTGAGCAAAAAAAAGTGCCACCAGTGGAGATGTGCCCTAAACTTGCATTCTTTCTAACGGCCAGCAGGGGGCGACCCTTCAGCCTGCAAAAAAAAGAGTCCAGTGGTGCAAAGTCTATGAAGAGATTACTCGGTGGATCGCCTGATCTGTGACTTCAATAAAGACTTTACTGATGACTTTATGGTCTCACCTGATAGTTTTAGGTCGTATTGAAAATAACACAGTGCTGCTTTTTATGATTTCTTTTTTAAACTTCGTCATAGTTTTTTCAGGTTGTTTCTTTTCCAGGTTTAAACATGGTTAACGGGAACAGTCGGCTAACTAAAAATAATCCTTAATAAACGTTTTTGCCCTTGAACTGCTTCTTATCACACTCGGTCCTCACGCACTGTTCATTCATATTGATGTCCCCACACTTTCACATAGACACACACACACACACACACACACACACAATTTAACACTGACCAGGTGACGTGGAACGCTTGTCTGCAGCCCTGTCTGTTGCAGGTCATGCACGCGCCGCAGGCGGCCTTGCTCTCCCTCCCGTGGTCCTCGCAGATATAACAAGTCTGTTGAAAGAGCACAAACGGAGAGTACAGGAGATGCAGGGACTCAAACACATCAGTCATCATTATTATTATCAACAACAGGTGCCGGATTGCTTTTCCATCTGTCGCACGAGCAAAGCAAGCCGTCCCGTCTGACGGCCATTAAAATGAACTATTGTGATTGCGGCGCAGCAGAGATGAAACACTCCTCGACTCGAGTCCAGCTGCAGCTGCAGTGCAGATGATTAGGAAGTTTTTCTTGTCAAGACAACAGATGAGGTTTTCAAACAGAGCACAGCTTCTACAGAGAAACTGTTGACCAGATGTTTGGGGATGTTGTAAAGAAAGTTGACACAGATCGGCCTGCAAACTGCTCTGAATCTGCTTCGAAACAGACGCTACGCTTGGAGTTTTCAGCCTCCCGTTAATCTTTTTCTTTGCACCAAAGTGAGGTGGTTTCTAACGAACTTCAGGGTGCCACGGAGCATACGCTGACACGACAAAAGACTCATATCAGCCCGTCTCCAAAAGACATGTAAGCATACACACTCGAGCCCCCGAAAGCAAACAATCGCATGCACGAACACACACGCCGCTTTTGTACTTCTTGTTCAGCTTTCCTCAGCGAGCAGGCCCGACTGGTGGGGGGTAGAAGAGGCCTAGCAACAGGTGCGGGACAAAGGAACAGCAGGCTCTTTACCTTTTCACTTCGGCCCTCTCTGTTTCACCTTTTTCTCTCCCTTTCTCCTTCTCTCCATATCCTACTCAGCTCTCTGTTTCCCTTCAGAGGATGTCTGCTGTGCAATGAAAGGCCGGAGACATAACTGCACCGGGCATGTAAAAGGAAGAGTGGCTTCTCGAGTTTTCAGTGTCCATTGTAACGTTGTCTAGGAATGCGGGCAGCAAAGTCTGAATGAATGGCCCTGACGGGGGAAGGCTGCATGCAATTTACTGTAGCTGACACAGTAATATGAAACCGGGCCCTCAAACACTCACACATGTACATTTATATGCAGGCATGCACACACACACACACAGAGCATCTAAACGACGCACAATGCAAGATGCTCAGTCCATGAATCAAATATTGATTTCTTTGTAATGTGCTTTGCTTTGAAAGGCTTGCTCTGCTGCACACACTGCAGATGTCTTCTGAACAGTTTTTGTAACTTTGAAAACAACTGCAGTGTTGTGCAATCAAACAACCAAGATGTGATACAAGTTCAGACTTTCTTCTTTAATTCAAGGAAGTTAACAAAAGTATTGCATAAGCTCTTGAGGAATTGCATACATTTTTATTGACATTCATCAATTTTCAGAGGATCAAAATTAATTGGACAAATGACAAATTTACAAGTGTTGCAGCTGTTCATTGATCCAGCGAAACGTGGCTGCAAGTAAAGGAGGCCCTGAAAAATAAACCTATCTAAGAGGTAGCAAAAGCTTTAGGAGTGGTCAAAGCAACAATCTGGTGCTTTCTTATTAAAACAGGAATGCAATGGCCAGCTCAGCAACACCAAACAGCCTGAAAGACCACAGAAGACTAAAACTTCAGACCAAGTCAAGAGCAGGAAGGCCAGATTAAATTTCCCAGGAAACATCTGAAAGAGCCGGCACAGTTCTGGAAAAATTCTTTGGACACATGAAACCAAGAAGAACTTGTACCAGAACGATGGGAGGAGAAAAGAACTCAGAAAGAGAGAAACAGCTCATGATCTGAAGCACATCACATCATCTGTCAAACACGATGGCGGCAGTGTTATGACACTGGCACGTACGGCTGCCAGTGGAACCGGGTCACGGGTGTTTATTAATGACGTGACTGCTGATAGAAGCAGCAGGGTGACTCGTGAAGCGTACAGGGCTGCACTCTCTGCTCAGAAAGCACTTTGCAAAGAAAGCAAAATGCAAAAGCAACTCAAGAAATGGGTCATTCTTTGATGGCCAAGTCAGCCACCTGATCTTAACCCAGCAGAGCAGCTTTCCATTTACTGAAGGTAAAACTGAAGCAGAGAGACCCACAAGCAAGCAGCAAGTGAAGGTGGCTGCAGTAAAGGCCTAGCAGAATACCTCAAGGATGTCCACGGATTACACACTTTCATCCAAGTGTAAAAAATCATGCAAAATATTTGCAACAGCCCTTAATGTGAAGATGGAGGTCTGCACTTTAATCACATACACCACTGTGGTGGTGCACAGGGCCAAAGATCCCTTCACTTTTACTTTTGTCTCAATTTTCCATTTGAAAATATAATTTAACTTCAAAGGCAAGTTTATTCTTTTTAATGAATCCACAAAGCCAGTGAGTAACTGGCTTCCTGTAATCCTGTAATATTCCTGTAATCCTCAATACGGACCAAAAGACCCGATTATGGTTTCTGCCAGTATCGGGAAGCCCTAATAAGAGAGTAAAGTTACCAGAGAGCTGATGCATGCTGAAGCTGTACCCGCCTGAAACTAGTCTGTGGTTAAACTGTTTGTGTGCAAAGTAAAAAAGAAAGAAAAACATCATTAGCAGAAAATTTCAAAAGCTAGCGTGAGTCTATGTGTGACACGTCCTCTTATCTTTGAATCTTAACAGCCGATCTGCAGCATTCATTAATTATACATGAAGAACACAGAAAACAAACCTGAGCCGAGTAAAGCAAAACTACCATCACTCTTTCTGTGGTAAGAGATATTTAACAATATAAAAAGAAAACACTTTAAACATCCATCTTCATTCAACAAAGGATGAAGATGTCAAAAAGCACCACTGACACCAGTCTCCACCCTCCCTGCACTTTCTGTTCCCTTTTAGACTCATCTTCGCTACCTTGCAGCTTCAGCGTTACACCCGCCCCCCTCTCAGTCACACACACCATCTTTAATTCCTCTCCTCTCCACTGCACACCTCCAACAGCTCCCTACAGTCATTACAGGTCACAGTGTCATCTGCAAACATTGTAGTTCACAGAGACAACACTCCTACAACAGACGACTGTTTGGGCTATTAATGTATCACTACTGAAACACTGTAACAACTGTGAGGCATGAAACAGCAGTGCAGAGTGACATCAGCACACAATCACAGTTTACATCTTTCACATACCGCAAAGAGCGATTTAACCCATTCATTAACTAATCAGCGGACAAACAGGGACAGATATCACAGGTACAACTACTTTGTATATAAATAAAACTGCAACTTTGTAACAGCCTGATTGTTTCTTTTTTACCTTTTTTAACTTCTAAATACTGAAAACAACTTCTAAGTATGTTTTCAAGCTTTTTTTGAATGTGTGAAACAGTCAGCTAATAAGACTGATCAGATAAAGAAGCTCCTTTCATGAGCTTGTAATAAGCAGAGGAAACGTTTTGCCTTCAAAAGTATAAGACAAACTTTTATGTTTTCACTTTATATTTACTCTGCTATAATCTTGGAGTACTTAGTTGACTTAGATGCCAAAAGTATGAATGAAACGAAATGAAAATGAGCTGTCAGAATTAAAAATGGTGGCCTCACATTCAAAATGACCTTTCTGTGTGACTCAGCATCCGGCACGCTGTCGCTGCACGTCGTCTCTCAAACCCGGGCTTTAAATTTTAAATCTGTAAATGATTCGACTGCATTCTGTTTGTCTTTGCGTAACAGTTTCGAAAACAGGAGAGCGGCTCGGCAATCTAACACGTTTTTCATTTTCTATTTAAAATTATTAAATGTATTTTTTTTTTTAATCCTTGAATTAAAGCTTATTGAAGAATATTTTTTAATTATTCAAATTTTTTTAATTGGTAAAAGTTCAAACCATGAGAAGCTTTTCGTGTTCTTTTTCTATCATCAGTCAAAACTCCATAAATCAAATACTTTTTGATGTGAAAACCAGAAAAACTTTACTTTCACAAATCACTTCAGGGTATTTTTGAATCTTTGCACTTATGGTAAATGTGCTTTGCTGTTTACTAAACATGCCACATCTACTACAGCTCGAAATCTCCCACATTTCCCAGAAAGGCTTTCAGCAGCCTCCAGAGAACAGGCGTGACCTTGCCACGCTGAGCTCCGGGTTAGTACAGGACGTGTAGGTGGAGAGAAGAACGGGGATGTGAAGCAAAACTGGTTTTCCCGTTAAGGAGGAAAGCAGTCGTGCAGTCTCCCACGTGTCGTCTGCTGCATTGCATCATGACTCGTCGAGCTTGGTGCTGAGGACGGAGATGACACTTTGCTCTTCTCCCTCTGTGTGACTGCTCATTCTGAAAGTACTCTCTGTGTTTTTGATGACTGCTGACACACCGTGTGACACATGTTGCATAACCTGTTTAGCAGCGTTTCATATATGTAAACACGGATGCAGCTTTCTGTGTATTTATACATTTTACTGTTGAGGATTTTCAGTATTACTGATTACTGGTGCTGACTTCTTCTACCTGTTTAAAGTATTTGTTTATCAAACGCAGGTTTGTGGGGTCACCTTGTGCCAGTTTCAGGGGTGCGGTGCAGGTGTGCAGCTTTACACGTTATCATAGGTAAGAGGATGTGTTTACATTTTTCTCTGTGATTGGATGAGAAGCCGGAGACCCTAAATCAAACTGTATCAGAAAACCTTTTAAATCTTATTTTGGGTTATTGACAAACTTTTGTTTGTTTGTTTTATTTAAAATTTGCCTGGTGATACAGGTTTTAGGTCCTGGTAACAATGGAAATTATTAGTTCTTCTCTCCATTAATTTAGATTGGAGCTTTGGGGATTACAAATTACTTCATATGCAGAGGTAAAAAAACCTCGTTTAAATCTTTAAATCAGCAAACACATGCTGATGGGGCTCTGGGATTGCTTTGTATTAATGTTATGCATTTAACTATGACGTCTGGCCCTTTAGTCGCTTCCCCCGAGAGAAGCCCACCTTCACTGAGCAGCATCTTTTAGCCCCACTGTCATCTGCAGTCTTATTCACTGCTCATCTCGATCTAATCTGGATTAAAGTGGCTTGGATGTTTAAGTTGGACCCATATTTAAATGTGCCTTTCAGTCTCAGACTGAACCTGAAGCTGCGCTTGGTAAGACCTCGTTTTACTGGCAGGATCGGAAAGAAATGGGAGTGGCCCCCCCGGATGACCTTTTCTGTGACGTCTTCTACACCATTTTGGAAACCTTGGATCTGTCGTCTTCTATCAGGGCTGTTCAGACCCAATACAGAAGCTCCTACAGTTTCTAAGCATTTAGATAGTTTTGAACGCTGGGAAAGGTCATGAAGTGTTATTCTCTGCTGATCAAGAACTTGGCTCAGGAAGGTTTTCCAGATCTCAGGAAGAACATGGGAGATGATTTAAGTCTGACATGAGACAAGAGATTGTTAATATAAATATTATTAGCAAAATGAAAATGATCAAGGGATGGATGATGAGACTTTGTTGTTATTCTTAGCTTCTTAGATATCCTTATTTATACTTGGATAAAAAGAAATACTGAACTGCTGGTGAACTATAAGAAGGAGAAATTCACTCTATGCCTCAAAGTCAGGTAATAAAATTATCGAGTTTTATTACCTGAAGAGTTCTGGACTAGATTATGTGAAATTAAGATATGCTAAGGATTCATAGGCAGTCCAAGACTATTTGTTTTAGGCGATGAGACAGACTTAGTGGGAGATGACAGGGAGATTAAGCATCTGGTCCAGACTAGCATCGTGGAAGTAGTAGAGGTGGCCAGAGCTGAAGCATTGGAAAAGATGTCAGAGAGGACTTAAAGATGAATAATTATTTTAGAAATGGAACGAATATATTGTTTCCTTTGGAGGACACTTGGTTTGGGGTCGTACGGTGTGAAGAGTTCTTTGTTACCTGTTTAGCTGCAGGTACAAACAACGTAAAAATCCGTGTGATGAATGTGTTCGCAGCCATTTTTGAGTTATGAACAAGAAAACGATTTTACCGAAGGATTGAAATGTCACCACTTTATAAGAGCACAACAACAACAACACACCCTCACAAACAAACTAACAAACAAACAAACAAACAAATAAACTCCAAAGTAAACCCTTAGTTCTACTTTCAGATTAGGCTTCAAACTTTCCTGTTTGATGAAGCTTATCTTTGGGGCTGGATCTGATCTCTCTGTGCTCCTCTTTTCTCTCGCGCCTCTAACTTCCTGTAGACTAATCCAACTTTCCCGCTCAAACAGCGTGCATCCCTACCTTGTTGTATCTCTCGTGTGGGACATACTGCAGGATGATAGGCTCCATGGTGAGGACGTTGGCGAACTGCACCTCGGGGATGTAGAGTGCGCACACGACGTGGGCCCAGCCTGATTGGAGGAGAGATTGGCAGCGGATCAACGACACGACAAGACTCGGAATGACTCGAGTGGAAATGCGCACTCGGTTATGCCCTCGGGAAGAGTGAGCGGGAACATGATGATATTTACCTCCGCTGTCTGTCCTCTTGAGGGCGCCATCTTTGTGGGGACACAGCTCACACCTCTGAGGAGACACGGGAGAGAGCGGAGCTTGTTGGAGTGGATATCTGTCTGACCAGGACTCCAAACGTTAGGGCAGATACAGGAAACAGTGGGTCAGTCTATTCGATGCAGTTCTAAGCTAACATAATATAGAGGAAGTAACAGTTCAGAGGCTTTATTTTGCACCTATGACATCAGCTTTTCTATATATCTCTGCCTCAGTTTATGGCTTTTCTTGCGCTTCTTGTAATCAAATGTGTTGTCATCAAGCTTTTTAATTTATAGTTCACTTCATCTGTCGCTACTCAGCTCCACTCTGCAGGCAGCGCATGTGCACGTGAGCTGTAACCACCTCCACACACAGGAGGAGGACAGCTGATAGGTGGGCTCAAGGCTTTATTGTTGGGTCTTTACCTTTGAGTACTGAGCACCTTGAGGCGACCGCTGTTGTGATTTGCGCCATATAAATAAAACTGAATTGAATTGAAAAATTAAGAGTAACATGTTGTCGTGTCCTATGATTTTGCTCACTTTTTTAACAAGCCCTGCCCTTATTTGGTGTCTATATATATGTAAAGAAGGAATCAAACAGTCTGCTGTCCACAGACTGTAAAAAGGAGAATCAGGAGAATCCAGAGTGAGCTGATAATTGTGACACATCAAAGTTAAAATCCGTCTTAACTCTTGCAGATGCAAAGACAGTTTCTATTTTATCCTCTACGATCTTCTTCTTTCTCCCCTCGCCAGCCCATCTGGTCATGGCAGATGGCCCCGCCCCTCCCTGAGCCTGGTTCTGTTGGAGGTCTGTTCCTGTCAAAAGGGAGTTCTTCCTTCCCACCGTCGCCAAATGCTGCTCGTACAGGATCATCTGTTAGCTGTGGGGGTTTTCGCTCTTATATTATACGGTTGTTACCGTGTAGTATAAAGAACCTTGCTGTGGGAAGTGTTGTGAGTTGATGTTATATGAAAAAAAATGAATTGAAAGGAATAGACTAAAATCAGACTAGTCCAAAAAAACCATGAAGGGAGAAAAAGTCCTCACTGAAAGTTATTATTTAATAATAAACACAGTTTCAGTTAATGTGTACGTTTCTTTTATGTTCGATTTTACTTAAGAAAGGTAGGAAAGCAATGTTTAAATCATGCCTGAGGCTGCTTCACACATAAACACAGAGGAATCCAGCTTATTCGTTTAACTCAGCTTTAGGGCATCAGTATGGGACAAGCTGGCTCAGTACACCTGAGGCAGACTGCTTGTAGGTGAAGGTGAAGCAGGAATGAATGAATAAATTGTGTCATTCGTGTTGGCGTACTCACCACACGTGCCGCCCGCTCCTGTGACTCACACTTCCGACAGAACCACGGGCCAGTTGGCACCTGCACGATGCCGTAGCATGCTGCGACAAACACACAAGCACGGGAGTGTCAAACTGGACCGGCACGACCCACGGTAACACACCTGTCTTTTAATGTAAACTACAGGTACAAATGAAAACATGCACATTTAATGAGTCATTCATTCATTCACAGGACAGATGTTGAACAGCCTGAGGGTCAACAACTTGTACCTTTAACAGTGTTTAAAAGTTTCACGTTTTCTGGAAATAATAGTTTACTTTTTATGATTGAAACGACTTGCCAAGCTCTATAAATACTTTAATAAATACTAGTAAAGCTGGCAGTACCTGTCCAAGAATACTACTGAAGATAATACTGACTTGACACTTGGCAAAGCCATCATGCTTTAACTGATGAATAGAAAATGATTTCAAACTGATTTTATGTTTTAACGTTTCTCTTTCTAAGTTTAACATCTCTCCCTGTCAGTGGTGAGAGGTGCTGCTGTCATCCTGATCGGATTAACTTTATAATCCTATTTCATTCCACTTTGACATGAAGCTTTAATTTGACTGGGACAGCCCTGAAATCAGCCTCCTGCATCAGCACCTCTCTGGATCAGAATCTTCTGCACTTTTTCAGTTTGGGCACAAATTTCTTTTTGTCTTTTTGGCACATTTGTGCACCAACACCGTCACAGCATCACTGAGATCAGAGGGCTGATCCTCACGCAGAGTAGCCATCCTGCGTGAGGTCCCACTTCAAATCGCTCGAATGCAACAAAGCAAGTGGACATGCGCTGCTGTCCGAACGAACACGGCCTCGCGAACGCGTCGCAGCGTGCCGCACGGTCCGCGACGCACGGACCTCGAGGCGCCATCCGGGCTCGGTGTCACGCCGCTCGGCCCTGCGCGATCAATCAAGTGCGCGGAGAGGAAGCAACAACAGCACGCTTACCTACCCGCCCCTCCCGCACGAACACAGAACACGCACGTAGGCAGGGAGGACCAACGCCTCCGGCCGCAAGCTAGAGCCGCTCCGGCTGCCCGGGAATCACACGCTAACAGCAGCTAATGTTACCTTGGTGAACGGCGACGCTGCAGCCGTGTCCATCACAGTACACCAGCGGATTCTCAGCCCAGCCTCGCTCGTCGGAACACACGCAGCAACCTCCGACCATTTCCCGCATGCTGCTCCCATATGAAGAAATAGATTTCCCCTCCCGGCAACGGCTCAGACCCAGGCCAGGCCTGTCAGGCGGTCGTCCCGCATCTTAACGCCGCTCTAGGCATGGTCACGGGCCGCCCACGTCGTGCAGTTTTAGTGCAGCGGAGAGCCGAAATCTCTGCGTTTGTGGTGCTTCTAGTAGATTTTCCGTGATGTCCTCCCCGTCCCATACATAAGTGCGCATGCTCAGATCTTCGCCGGAGTAAAAGTCACAGCAAAGGTAGCAAGTTATTGTTGAGCAGGAAGCGCCTTTTCAGCGCGTGTTTTCAGGCAGTGACGACTCGATTTCCACGAACCCGGGGAGCAGACGCCCGCACGGCCTCCTGCCCCGGTCCACTGTGTTCTTTACACGAACCCCGCGCATCACGTCGGCCCAAACCGCTGTATGCGCCCGGCATCAACCGCGTCTCAACAGCGCCATCTGCAGGACATCTTGGGGGTGGCTAACAGCAGGAATTACAAGCTATTTCACCATCCGGCGTCCGGACCTAAAATAAATAATGAAACATTAATAATAAGATAACAAAAGATGCGAGATTCCCGTGTGACAGCGGCCAAAACAGGTCAACACAATATCATAAAATATTAAAAGACAAAAATGGTCATAATGGGAAAAAAACACGCAAAAGAAAGGAGCTCAATTAAATAGAATAAAATATAAACTTTCATTAAAAAAAGGGGAGCTCAATAAGCGCAAACCTACATATAACAAAATAGAAGACAAAGTAAAAAGTCAAGTATAATACAAACAGGAGCTCAGTAAATAAATGTACCATTTGAAATTCATAATGTAATGACAACATTTTATTTTTGCTCATTTGCTTTTTTAAAAATTATTATTTACTAAAAACGAGTACCAAAATAAATACATAAATAAATAATAACAATAATGGATAATGACAGTAATGACAATTTAATTACTAAATAAATCTGATTACATAGAAATAAAAAAAAAGACAGAGAGAGAAACACAAACAACGCTAATCACATCTCAGTTTGTAGCTCATCACAACTATTACACAAGTTTAACACTTTGACAGATAAGCATCTACTTTCTGTTATTGGTACCGACCCTGCTTTTCATACGTTCTCTCTCTGACTTCAAACAGCTTCTTTCAAATATTTTTCCATTTCTTTGTTCATTATCAGTTTAGTGCATCAACTAAATCATAAAGATTTAAAACAGGCAGCATACAAACGGGATTTGCACAAACCTCACCTTCAAACCACCAGTGTGAACCATCAGCGATGTGTGAGGGCTAACACCCTCATTTCCAAGGTTTTACATATCAACACATAAAAAACCTCTCAGATGAACAGCAGCACAGCATATTATTACACGGTGTTATTACACACAGCTCTCTGAATTTTAGTTATAAATTGAATTATGTAGACTGGGAAGACTGGCAGGTGTCATCTGCGAATAATGTTTCTCACTCTAGAACGATGGACTTCAATTTATTTGGAGATGGTCTTCGAACTCTTCCCAGACTGATGGATCATTGCTGATGTTTGTCCTCTTTGGCACTGAATTAACACACGGCTGAATGATCTAAAACATCTGCTTTAACACAGGTGTTCATACAAGCACCTGGGTGCTATTCTTAGTTTCCACAGAAATGTCATGTGTTGTTCTTTATCAGAAGTGATATTTATCTAATTTTAAGACATGCTAAGGATGAGATTAGTTTTATGTCCTGATATGTAGGATTGGAGCTGGAAGAAGAAGAGGAGGCGTATTTGAAACTTTTACAAGCTCTAACTGGGCTGTTTATGAGTGTGACACCCTGGATTCAGAAAAAATAGTTTGAATCACAAAGACATAAAACACTTTTTCCTTCGGCGGAGCTCATTAGAGGTCACCATATATATCATCTATTCCCAGCATCCTCTTCTGTCATACCAACCCTTCACATGTCCTACATACATCTTCTCTGAGGTCTTTTTTCCTCCTGCCTGACAGCTTCTACTTCAACATCCTTCATCCAATATATTCATCTCAGCCTTGCTTCCCTAACTTTATTTTCTATTTAAGAAATCTCTATGTGTTTTCCGGGTTTCCCTTAGAGATCCATCAATATCAGCGAATTGAAAATGGCAGCAGTCTCACCATTTGTGGAAAAACTGAAGAGTGTTTAGCTGAAATCACATTTTTTAAAGATTCGTGCGTGTGTGTTTATAATGCTGTTGTGAATGGATGACTCAGGAGACTTTATTCAAAGAAAGAATAAAGACGGGTGGGTTTTTTCCATGCAGGTTGTTATGTAATAGTGTTTGCGGTCTAACCCAGTTGAGATCAAATTGGGCTGTTTTGTGGTCCATGAGCTAAAACGAGACGCATGACGCCCCCGATCTATGGGAGCAAAACTGAAAAGTACTAAACATGTGAAATTTAAATTAGAATCCAGTTTGTCCATCTGAAGCGCCCTGAGGTTTAATGACTCAAACTTTACTGGCTGTCTTTCCACTTACACTAACTCCTGTAATTCAGTCAGCAGATGTCACCAAAAACATCTCATTTTGACTGGTCTTGCGTCATGGATGCTTTATGACTCCTATCTCGTCTGGTTGAGTAATTCTGTCTTTAAGGTGAAAAGGGGACCTCACACACACACACACACACACACACACACACACACACACACACACACAC